TTGTTTCAATGAGAAAAGTGGGCGGAGAGCTAGTATAGGAGTGAAAGTGTCTGCTTTGCATCCTTCTAAGCCCACTTTTTTTTTTTTGGCTTTTTGGGTCACACCTGGCGATGCACAGGAGTTACTCCTGGCTCTACACTCAGAAATCACTCCTGGTGGTGCTCAGGGGACCATATGGGATGCTGGGAATCGAACCTGGGTCGGCTGCGTGCAAGGCAAACGCCCTACCCACTGTGCTATCTCCCCAGCCCCTCTAAGCCCACTTTGAATCTCCATCACTGCCTATGGTACCCAAAAGCGCTGCCAGGAGTCGCTTCTGAACACAGAGCCAGGCATATCTCCTGAGCACTGCATGTGCGCGCGCGCGCGCGTGTGTGTGTGTGTGTGTGTGTGTGTGTGTGTAGAGAGAGAAAGAGAATTGAGAATTTGGCGGGGGGTAGTACTGGGCCACTCCTGCCTTTTGCACTTAGGGATCACTCCTGTCAGGACTCTGGGGACCCTATGGGATGCTCGGAATTGAACCGCAGTCAGTCACATGCTAGGTGAACATCTTACCCACTGTCCTATCTCTCCAGCCCCAAGAAAGGTTTGGCTTTTGCCTACTTGGGGGAATCAGTGTTCACATAAAGGCAAGGGTCTTGTCATTCCTATTCAGATTGATAATCTGATTGATTGATAATCTCTTCCCAGGAAGAATGTTTCTGGGGGTGAGTACAGTTGAGCATTTTAATATACACCTTAGGGCCGGAGAGATAATACAATGGGTAGGGCGCTTGCCTTGCATGTGACCAACCTAGTTTGATCCTGGTCAGGAGTAATCTCTGAGCACAGAACGAAAGTAAGCCCTGAGCACTGCCAGGTATGCCCTCCCCCCCCAAAAAAAAAGCAGTTAACTATCTATATAGTTTGGGTTTTTTTTTTTTTTTGCTTTTTGGGTCACACCCAGCGATGCACAGGGGTCACTCCTGGCTCTACACTCAGGAATTACTCCTGGCGGTGCTTGGGGGACCATATGGGATGCTGGGAATCGAACACGGGTCGGCCGTGTGCAAGGCAGACGCCCTGCCCGCTGTGCTATTGCTCCAGCCCAGTAAACTATCTATATAGTTTGTTGATCCCCACTACTACATACGGTCCCCTGAGCCCCACCGGGAGCCAAGACCAGCAGTGTGTCCCAAACACCAAAATAGAAAAAAAAAAAAAAACTGTAGCACTGTCCTCCCGTTGTTCATCGATTTACTCGAGCAGGCACCAGTAACATCTCCATTGTGAGACTTGTTGTTACTGTGTTTGGCATATCGAATACGCCACGGGGAGCTTGCCAGGCCCTGCTGGGCGGGCGGGATACTCTCGGTAGCTTGCCGGGCTCTCTGAGAGGGACAGGAATCAAACCTGGGTCTGTCACGTGCAAAGCAAACGCCCTATCGGCTGTGCTATTGCTTCAGCCAACGTGAAAATATCTGGAAACATGTTTTGTTTGGGAGGGCCACACCGGCCGTGCTCAGGGCTGACTCCTGGCTCTTTGCTCAGGGGTCACAGCTGGAGGTACTCGGGGGACCCTAATAGGGTTCTGGGATTGAACCCTGGATGGCCTCATATAAGGCAAACGCCTTCCCACTGCCCTCGGGTTTGGGCCTCACCTGGGTCATTTTTTGGATGATTTCAGGCCACATCAGTGGGACTCGGGGCCCCTGCAGTGCAGAGGTCAAAGTCTCAGTTCTCCAGTGCTCTGAGCCACCTCGGCGGGGGCGTGGGGGGGGGGAATGAGAAGGAAGTCTTTTTCTTTCTTTTCCATCTTGCCCAAAATGTAGTTTTCCTCATTCAACCAGGAGAGCGGATGGGGGCTGCGGGGGCGGGGGGGGGGCGGTGCAGGGGGCATGCCAATGGAGTTTCTATTAAATTTGATAAAGTACTTGGAAATGGTGAGGACAGGCGTTATTTCGCGTTATCAGGAGTTACAAAAGCGATTTGCGGGGGCGGGGGGGTGGGGGGGCGGGGGCGGGCAGCAGCGACAGCCTCGTCCCTTGGGGGAGGGAACCAGCAGGTGGGGCGGGGCCGGCAGAGGGTCAGAGCCCTCCCCTCCCCTCCCCTCCCCTCCCCCTGCTTTCTCTCCCCTCCTCTCCACTTCTCATCCCTCCCCTCTCCTCCCCTCCATTCCCCTTCCCCTCCCCTCCCCTCTTCTCCCCTTCCCTCCCCCCTCCCCTTCACCCTCCCCCTCCCCTGCCCTCCTCTCCCCTTCCCCACTTCCCTGCCCCCTCCCCTTCTCTTCTCTTCCTTCTCTTCCCCCTCCACTCTCTCCTATTTATTTATTTGTTTATTTATTTATTTTTGCTTTTTGGGTCACACCCGGCGATGCTCAGGGGTTACTCCTGGCTCGTGCACTCAGGAATTGCAATTCCTGGCGGTGCTCAGGGGACCATATGGGGTGCTGGGAATCGAACCTGTGTTGGCCACGTTGGCTGTGTGCAAGGCAAACGCCCTACCCCGCTGTGCTATGGCTCCAGTCCCTTCCCCTCCACTCTCTTGCTCTCCTCTCCTCTTCTCTCTCCTCCCCTGCTTCCCCTCCTTCCTCTCCCTTCTTCACTTTCTTGTCACTGCATTGCCCCCTGGGGGTGGCACCACACACATTCCTGGCACCAGGACCATGAGGGCTGGGCTGAAGGATCAAACTCTGAGTTTCTCCTTCAGGGCAGCCTGGAAGCCCCAAATCACATCCTAGGCCTGTAAAGTAGTTCTCTCTCTCTCTCTCTCTCTCTCTCTCTCTCTCTCTCTCTCTCTCCCTCCCCTTCTCGCTCCCTTTCCTCCCCCCCTCCTCCTCTGTCTCTCCCCCCATCTCTCTCCTCTCTGTCCCTTCGCCCTCTCTCATCCAGGGACCTTCTCAAAATGCTGGAGAATGAAGGGGGGGCGGGTCCAGTGTCCTGGGGACCAACCCGAGGGCCTCACCCCTGCAGGGCCCATGTCCCACTCTTTGAACCAGATTCCTGAGCACAGTCATGCAAGGTTGTTTGGGGTTTTATTTTGTTTTGCTTCGGGGGGCCACGCCTTATGGTATTCGGGGCTGACTCCAGGCTCTGTGCTCAGGCATCACTCCTGGCAGTGCTCGGGGGATCCTATGGGATGCCGGGAATCGAACCCGGGTTGGCCGCATGCAAGGCCAGTGGTCGAAGGCCCACTGTCTTATCGCTCTGGCCCTCACAGGTTTTCTTAGTTTGTCTTGGGGCCACATCCGGTGGTGCTCAGGGATCACTCCTGGAGGGGGACCCTACTGGGTTGTGACCAGGATTGCACCAGCGTCAACAGTGTGCAAGGCCAGAGCCCTCCCTGTTGTGCTGTCCCCACCGCCCACACACCTTGTGTCACCAACCTCAAACGTAGGAGTCCGCTAGAGGATGGACAAGTCCACGCTGACCGTTACTCTGTGGCCCGTCTGACCTGGGTCATTGTTTTGGCTTTGGTTTGGGGGTTGTTGGGGTGATTTTTTTTTTTTGTATTTTTTTTTCCTCTCCACATTGTGTTGGCCGGAAGACTTATGTGTTTGGGAAGTTTTTGTTGCGCCTTTGCTGACGCGGCCTTTTGAACTCCTGGCACTGACCTTCCGATGTGGCCCCAGCCCAGGAAAATGACCTTTTCCCGCTCTCACAAGGCTCTCTGGGGCGGGTGAGCCGGGCCCGGCCCAGAGGATGTTCTGCCCTGAGTATTGCTTCCTGCCATTGACTGCAGCCTGCAGACAGGCCGTTACGGATGCTGGTTTTCCGAGTCGCCCCCACCTTGCCCGTCCAGTGCCAAACCCTGACAATTGTGTCCCCCCCAATCCCTACCACCCCCACCCCCCTCATACACATCATCATTCTCTGTCCACAGAGACAGGAGCAAAGGGACGTTGGCCCACCACATCCCTGCTTCCGGCCAAGAGATCGTTTTGAGTTTTTTTATGTTTTTTTTTTGGGGGGGGGAGCACACTCTGAGATGCTCAGGGGTTACTCCTGGCTCATGCACTCAGGAATCACTCCTGGCGGTGCTCAGGAGACCATATGGGATGCTGGGAATCGAACCCGGGTCGGCCGGGTGCAATGCAAACGCCCTACCGGTTGTGCTATTGCTCCAGCCCCAAGTTCATTTTGAGTTTAGCAAGGAATCTGATTTGTAGTTTTTTGGTTTGGGGGGTAGCGCTGGGAATCGAACCTGCAGCCTCTCACATGCAAGGCAAGGGGCTCCCATGGGACCCCGGACCCTGTGCATATGTGCAGGGTCAGGAGATTACTCAAAATAAGTGCTCCCCCCCTACACACACACACACACACTTTTCCCTGCCCTTCCCCAAGCTTTGGGCCCCAGGGATGGACTCAGTGACTTTTCTTCGCTGTTTTAGGGCCGCACCCACCAGTGCCCAGGGGTTACTTCCAACTCTGTGCTCGGGGACTGAACCTGGTTTAGCCTCATGCAAGGCGAGTGCCTTAATCACCGTACCATCTCTCCTGCCCTCCGTTTGGATGCTCTGGGATCCAGAGCCTTGTGTCTGTGCCTCTGTGTGTGTGTGTGTGTGTGTGTTGGTTGGGGGGGTCACACCTGATAGTACTCAGGGGTCACTCCTGGCTCTGCAGTCAGGGATGACTCCTGGCAGTGCTCAGGGGACCCTATGGAATGTTGGGAATCGAACCCAGGTGGGCCGTGTGCCAGGCAAGTGCCCTAACCTCTATATTACCTCTCTAGCCTTCCTCTCTGGTGCTCTGGAATCCAAAATTGGTACCTTCACCTCTTTGGGGGGAACGGGGAGGCACACCTGGCAGTGCTCAAGGGTTACTCCTGACTCCGTGCTCAGGAATCACTCCTGGTGGTGCTCGGGGGACGGTTTGGGGTGCTGGAGATTGAACCTGGGTTGGCTGCCCTGAAGGCAGATGCCTTTCCCGGGCTCATGTGTGCCTCTTAGGATTTGGACAAAGCCCCTGACCAGCTGCGCTTTCTCCCTCTCTCTCTCTCTCTCTCTCTCTCTCTCTCTCTAGTCTGCCCGACCAGCTGTAAGTCTTCAGGCTGCACGGCGGAAGGTCTCTGCTGCCACAGTGAGTGTCTGGGCAACTGCCTGGAGCCCAACGATCCCAGCAAGTGCGTGGCCTGCCGGAACTTCTACCTGGACGGCCGCTGCGTGGACACATGTCCCCGCCCCTACCTTCACTTCCAGGACTGGCGTTGTGTGGACTTCAACTTCTGCCAGGCCCTGCACAACAAGTGCAAGAACTCACGCCGGCCCGGTTGCCACCAGTACGTCATCCACGAGAACAAATGCATCCCCGAGTGTCCCTCTGGGTACACGATGAATTCCAGCAAGTGAGTCCTGGTGGCGGTGGCGGCGGGGGGGGGGGGGGAGGTAGGGGGGGCACAGGGTGAGGCTCGGGTGGGGAGGTGCGTTGCTGATGACTGGGGAGAGATATTGGCTATCATTAGTGTCTTCTGGTTCGTTTGTTTGTTGGTTTGGGGGCCACACCCGGACAGCAGTGCTGAGGGCTGACTCCTGGCTCTGCATTCAGGAATCACTCCTGGTGGTGTTCAGGGGATCCTATGGGATGTCGGGTATTGAACACAGGTTGGCCACATGTAAGGTCAACACCCTGCTCACGGCACTAATGGCTCCAGCTGCATGTTTGGGCTCTTAACTTTTTTTTTTTTTGAGTCACACCCGGCTATGCACAGGGGTTACTCCTGGCTCATGCACTCAGGAATTACTCCTGGCGGTGCTTGGGGGACCAAATGGGATGCTGGGAATCGAACCTGGGTCGGCCGCATGCAAGGCAAACACCCTACCCATTGTGCTATCTCTCCAGCCCCCTCTTAAGTTTTGTGTTTCTTTTCTTTCTTTTTCTTTTTCTTTCTTTCCTTCTTTCTTTCTTCTGCTTTCTTGCTTTCTTTTTCTTTTTTTTTTTGTGTGGGGGGGTCACACTTGGCAGTGCTCAGGGCTTTTTCCTGGCTCTGCACTCAGGGATCATGCCTGGCAGTGCTTGGGGGACCCTGTGGGGTGGCAGGGATCGAACCCGAGTCAGCAACGTTCAAGGCAAACGTCCTCCCTCATTGTCCTATTGCCTTGGCCCCATTTGTCACATTTCAAGGCTGTTTCTGCAGCCAGCATCAATCCACCTGCCTGCCCTGGGTTCAAGGGCGACGGGCCCCATTTTCTTTAATTTTTAAAAAAATTAATTGAGAGGGGCCAGAACAATAGTACAGGGGTAGGGTGTTTGCCTTGCACGCGGCTGACCAAGGTTCGATCTCCGGCATCCCATTTGGTCCCCCGAGCACTGCCAGGAGTAATTCCTGAGTGCAGAGCCAGGAGTAACCCCTGTGCATCGCCGGGTGTGACCCAAAGAGAAAAAAGAAACAAGTTTAATTGGGAGGGAGGGGTTGGGTCCACACCCAGCGGTGCTCAGAGCTCCTGTCTGGGCTCAGGGGACCCTGTGCTGGGGATGGAATCCGGGTTGGCTGCCGTAAGGCCAGTGCTCTCACCACTGCACCGTCACTCAGGCCCCGTGTTCAGTCATTTTATTTTGGAGGGAGGGGCTCTCAGCCAGTGTTCAGGGGGACCTGGGGATCCCTCCCAGCAATTCTCAGCTGCCAGGGCTGCCAGGCCCGTGCTGAAGCCGGAAACTGCATCGCTGCCAGGGCCCTGAATCCCGGGAGCTATCATGCCACCTGCTGGGTCCTCAGGAGTTGTTTTGTTTTGTTTTTGCTTTTTGGACCACACCCCCGAATGCTCAAGGGCTACTCCTGACTCTGCACTCAGGAATCACTCCTGGCAGTGCTCAGGGGCTAATCTTGACTCTGCACTCAGGAATCATCACTCCTGGCAGTGCTCAGGAGACCCTATGGGATGCCGGGGATCGAACCTGGTCGGCCGCACGCCAGGCAAACACCTTACCCGTTAAACTATTGCTCCAGCCTGACTGGGGAATTTTTGCAGAGCTCAAACCCAAGTTGTGGGGTGTGCTGGACTCATCCTTAGCCCCACACTATCTCTCCGCCACCCTTTACAGCCCCCCCCCCCCGACACACACACACACACACACACACACACACACACACACACAGAGTTTCTGCTTTTGGAATAGTCGGAGTCGAATCGCTTTCCCTGGGCCAGCTGGAGAGGAAACTGTTTCCAGCCTCTCACACCTTTGTGTGATTTGTCATGTTTGGAACTCAAGGCAGAGAGCAGAGGCCTCATCCCCCCTTGAACCCCGGCCCCCCACCCCCAGTCTGCCCTGAATTGTCACCGTGACTATAGCAGAGCCTGGGTGTTTCATTTTTGCTTTATTTTGGAGTGCGATAGAGGTTGTCAGGGGTGCTCTGGGAACTACGTGGGTGCCGGGGATCGAACCTGGGGCCCCCACATGCAAAGCTTGACCTCTATCTAGCCCTGGAGTTATTTCTCCTGACCCAGAATTTGGGTGTTACCCATGAACCTGGGAGCCAAGACAATGAGACGCTGTTGTTGTTGTTGTTGTTTTGGGTCACACCCAACAATGCTCCTGGCTTTGCACTCAGGAATTCCTCTTGGCTGTGCTTGGGGGACTATATGGAATGCTGGGGATCGAACCCAGGTCGGCTGCATGCAAGGCAAATGTTCTACCCGCTGTTGTATCCCTTCTGGCCTGGGACTCAATTCTAGAGGTTTCTCTGGGTTCTACTGTGAGTGGGAGTTTTGGGGTTGGTTGGTGGGTTGGTTTTTATTTGGGGGCCCCACCTGGTGGTGCTCAGTGTTGATTTCTGGCTCCGTGCTCAGGGACCATTCCTAGCCTGGGGGACCCCGTGGGGTGCCAGGGACTGAAACGAGGTCGGCCACGTGCATTCAAGTGCTCTGTCTGCTGGGACTGTTACTCTGGCACCTGTTAGTGTTATTTTTGGTATGCTTGTTTGGGGGAGGGTTTTGTTGTTGTTTGTTTTGGGACCATATCCAGGGATGCTCAGGGCTGACTCCTGGCTCGGCGTTCAGGAATCACTCCTGGCAGTGCTCGGGGGACCCTATGGGGTGTCGTGGATGGACCCCGGGTCATCTGCATGCAAGGCCAGCGCGCTACTACCCACAATACTCTCGCTCTGACACCCCCTTTTTTTTTCCGTGTGTGTGTGTGTGTTTTTTGTTTTATTTTTTTATCCCTTTGGTTTTTGTCTCTTTGAAGGACAGTGTCATGAAACCATTTCCGACACTATGGATAAGAAATAGCGCCCGTGTTCTCTTGAGAATGAGTCAGCTTCCCCACGGCCGGGAACAGCCGACTTTGGTTCACATCCTTCTCCACGACCACGAGCTATTTTGGTGCTGTGGGGGCACCCGTGACCCCGAGTTTAAAAAATGGGTTTCCTGGCGGTGTTTTTGTGTGTGTCAAGGGCTTAGGAAACACACACGCACACTCACACACACATCAGCAAGCATCACCCAACTAAGTGAGAGACAGACGCACATCGAGATGCCCCAGGCTTGACCTGTTACGTAAAGAAATAAACAGAGAGAGAGAGAGAGAGAGAGAGAGAGAGGCAACTTTCCTCTTCAGAGCTGAGATGAGGCCAAGAGTTATCGTGGTGGGAAAGTTTATTTCTTGGGTGAGGAGGACTGGAAGGAACTCCCCTGACTTCAGTTCCAAGGAGTCTCTCCATGGAAAAAGCTGATTCTTTTTTCTTTGACTTGTTTTCGATAAAATAATAATAATAAAAAGATCTAATGGCTTTGTTCACCCCAAAGAGGTCACTATAAATCAGTGTTTTTTTTGGGGGGAGGGGGTGGGTCACACCTGGAGATGCTCAGGGCTGACTCCTGGCTCTGTGCTCAGGAATTACTCCTGGTGGTGCTCAGGGAACCCTATGGGATGCCGGGGATCAACCCCCCCCCCCAGTTGGCCTTGTGCAAGGTAAACGCCCTCCCTGCTGGACTGTCACTCTGGCCTCTATAAATCAGTTTTGCATGCCAGAGAGAGCTTCCTACGCCCTCCCTCCATCCTCCCTGCCACACACGGACACATAGACACAAACAGATACACACAGAGACACACTCACAGACACACAGACAAATATACATGGACACACACAGACACACAGACGCACACAGAGACACAGATACACACACAGAGACACACTCATGGACACATACACAGACTACATACACGGACACACACAGACACGCACCGATACACAGACACATACACACACCCTTTTTTTTTTTCTTTTTAGGTCACACCCGGCAGTGTACAGGGGTTACTCCTGGCTCTGCGCTCAGGAATTACCCCTGGCAGTGCTCAGGGGACCATATGGAATGCTGGGAATTGAACCCGGGTCAGCCGCGTGCAAGGCAAACGCCCTACCCGCTGTGCTATTGCTCCAGCCCCTCACACCTTTTTTTTTTTTTTTTACCAGTTTATCCATGAGGTTTGGCCAATGACCCTATATATTCCTTGGAGGTTAATATTTTTATTTATTTATTTATTGAATCACCGTGGGAAAAGTTACAAAGCTTTCAGGTTTAGGTCTCAGTCATGCAAATATCAAACACATTTCCCTTTACCAATACTTATTTTTTACCATGAAGAACCCCAATAAGACCCCACCCCCCACCCCTCCCAGTCCCTGTGAGGCAGATGAATTCTAGTTAGCACGCTATCTACTTTGATTAGATTCATTGTTTCAATAAAAGATTCACCACTATTATTTAGAGTTTACCCCCCCCCCCAATCAGACATGCTGAGAAAGCATTGTGAAGTGATTTGCTTTCTACAGCTGGGTTCAAGAATTAAATGTTGGTTTTGGATTTCTGCTATTTTACTTATTAACCCTGGAAGTATTTCTACTGAAAGTCAGATAATTAAGAAATTGGTTTCTGTGATCTGGAGTCATGGCCGTGCCGGAGAGCCACTCGTGGGGAGCAACTGGTGACCTCGGTAGGGCGTGAAGGGCGGACCGAAACGCCCCCCTTCCCATGAGGTTTTTGTCGCCCCCGCACCCCCGGCTCATACCTGCTGTCCACAAGGCTCCCATGCGGCCATCCTTCTTTCCAGAGAGGAGAGGGTGAATGGGGCAACACCCTTTCCCCTCCGGGCAGACATGATGGCCTGGATTAACGCATAGTCCGTTCACTTTTCTGCTCCAAGCTGCTGGGTTCTGCATTAAGTCCTTGTGTTTCTGGGGCTGTGGCCGTGCTCCAAACTTAGCTCTGATTTTCAGGGAGAAAGGTTGGGTGATTTACTTCCCATTGATCACTTTGTATATAGAGAGATGTCGAGCGGCCACGTAAGCAGCTGCGTGGTTTGGAGGAAAAGTCCTAGTTCCCGCATACTCGAGCTATGCTTGTAGAGGCTTCTGGTCACCGGGGTTCCATCTGGGGGAGGCGGGATGCGGCACCTACCCCATCTGGGACTTCCCGATGATCTCGGCTCTTTTTGAAACCTGTTTTTTTCTCCGGGGGCTGTGGAGCCAGCCCTCCATGTGGCCCTACTCTTCAGCTGTATGCTGTCGGAGGTTAATATTTGAATAAAACATGAATATGAAAGATTTTCCAATCGGATATTTATACAAAAAATCCCAAAACAAACAAAACAAACAAACAAAAAAAACTTCATATCAAAGGTCTGGGGTGAGTAGTGTCCAGGGTGCTCAGGACACCCCCCACAGCTCAGCATCGGGGATGGCTTCGAGCAACGCCCAGAAATTGAACTGGATTCTCAGATGCTTAAAGATGCACTCAGGGGCCAGGGAGATAGGACAGTGGTCAGGGCTCTTGCCTTGCATGAAGACCACCTAGATTCAATTCCCAGAACCCCACAGGGTCCCTTGAACGATGCCAGGAGTGATCGCTGAGCACAGAGCCAGGAGGAAGCCCTAAGCACCGCCGGGTGTGACCCAAAGACCTCAAATCCAATAAAATCTGCACCCCAGCCCTTGAAGCCATCCCCACAACATCACGATCACGACTATCCTGTTGTTCGTCGATTGCCTCGAGCAGGCCCCAGTAACATCTCCTTCGTCCTAGCCCTGAGAATTTTTTAAAAAGTGCCATATTCAAGGCTTTTCAGGGTTAGGAGAATGAGACCCATCATTGTTATTGGTATTTGGCATATTGGGTACGCCACGGGGAGTTTGCCAGACTCTGCCATGTGGGCAGGTTACATTCGGTATCCTGCCAGTTTGTCCAAAGTAGGAATGAGATAATAAGATGTCGCAATAAGATGTCAGGTGGCCATGAATGCAGCCATGCGCTTCCGGGAGCTGGGTTTTATAGTCTCTGGGTCTTGGCCATTGATGGGATTACACGGGCGCCAGGGGGCCAGTTGGTGGGTGTGACCCCTGCCTACTGGAATATGGAGGATCTGGGTGGAGGATGCTCAGCCCCGATTTGAGCAGGCTTGGAGATCTCAGCCCCGGGACCCGCCTGCCTTTGTTCCTCTGCCGGTACCTTCATGCGTGTATATCCCCCCACCCTGAAATAGGGTTTTTTTCCCTGCTAGTTTTAATTGTTTGGTTTGTTTTGGTTTTCCTTTCTTTCTTTTTTTTTTTTTCCCTTTTGGATTACACCCAGCAATGCACAGGCTCTGCGCTCAGGAATCACTCCTGGCTCTGCTCGGGGGACCATATGGGATGCCGGGGATCAAACCCAGGTCGGCTGCGTGCAAGGCAAATGTCCTACCCACTGTACTATCGCTCCAGCCCCTATTTTGGTTCTTGGTTCTGTTTGGGGGCCACACCGGGTGATGCTCAGGGCTTCCTCCTAGCGCTGTGCTCGGGGATCACTCCTGGCAGTGCTCAGGAGACCCTTATGGAATGCCAGGGATCAACCCCCTGGTTGGCCGTGTGTAAAACAAATGCCTTGTGCGCTGGACTATCATTCCGGCTCCCGTTTTTTATTTATTTCATTATTTATTTATTAAGACCGTATTTTTCGTCTGAAGCTTTTGTTTTAGGAATAACTTTGTTTGGGGGGGGGTGAGTAGTGGGGGAGGGCTCTCTGTCTTTCCTGTCCCAGTTTTGTGTTTTTTTTTCCCCCTATGCTTGTGACTTCTCTGAGCAAGGGTTCAGAGGGGTTTGGAGTGGAGATGGGGGAGCCTCGGGACTCAACTCCCTTATCTAGGGGCCTTCCAAGGAACCCGGCGTTGTGGCCGGGCAAGGAGTTGGTGAGTGGCAGTGTGCCCCTTGCTTGACCGGCCCTCTGGGGGGGGGGGTGAACGTCCCTTGTGTGGCATCCCTTGGGGGAGATTTGTACCTCCCGATCTCTCAGCTCTTTTTTTTTTTTTTTTTGCTACATCCAGCAGTGCTCAGGACTGACTCCTAGTTTTGTGCTCAGAGATCAGTCTTGGCAGGGCTTGGGGGACCGTCTGCAGTGCCAGGGATTGAACCAGGGTCGGTTTCATGGAAAGCAAGTGTTCTTTGCAACCTTGGTGCTCTCTCTCTCTCTCTCTCTCTCTCTCTCTCTCTCTCTCTCTCTCCTCTCGTTTCCCCAAAACAAAATAAAGTTTTGAAAAGTCTGCTTTTTTTTTTTTGGCTTTTGGGGTCACACCTGGCGATGCGCAGGGGTTACTCCTGGCTTTGCACTCAGGAATTACTCCTGGTGGTGCTCAGGGGACCAGATGGGATGCTGGGAATCGAACCCAGGTCAGCTGCATGCAAGGCAAACGCCCTACCCGCTGTACTATCACTCCAGCCCAATTTTTGAAAAGTCTTTTGCTGTTGTTTCTAGTTTTGGACTCACACCGTGGGCGGTGCTCAGGGTTGACTCCTGGCTCTGTGCTCAGGAATCACTCCTGGCGGGGTTTGGGGGGTTGAACTCGGCTAGACCATGTGCAAGGTAAGTGCTCTGCCTGTTGTACTGTCATTCTGGCCCCCATAAAATAGATTTTTGAGGATTATTCTTGGGTGAGAGTGGGGTGCAAATGGGCAAGACTGTGGTTTAGGGCGGCCGCGAACATTCTGTTACTGACCTGGAATAAGTAACTTGGGTGTGTGTGGGGGAGCGGGGCGGGAGGGGAGATGGTGTTGGGATTCCCTGACTTGCCCTGACCCTCTCTCTGCCCTGCCCTCAGCCTGCTGTGCACCCCGTGCCTGGGCCCCTGCCCCAAGGTCTGCCACCTGGAGGGCGAGAAGACCATCGACTCGGTCACGTCAGCCCAGGAGCTGCGCGGTTGCACTGTGATCAACGGGAGTTTGATCATCAACATTCGTGGGGGCAGTAAGTGGGATCCCCATTATTCCTGGGGGAGAGCAGAGAGATCCCTGCCCTTCCCTCATTCTCTCCTCCCCCCTTGTTTTTCATTCCTGAGGTGGTTTTTTAAGACCTAGACCTGGGAGTGGGAGGTAGGGGCCAGGAATATGGTTCAGTGGTTAGCGCAGTCTGCTGGCATGCCTGTGGATCCAACTTTGATCCCCAGGCTTCTGGCTCCAGCCCCAGTTATCAAAAAAAAAAAATTGACATTCAGGGGCCGGAGAAATATGCAGCCAACCTGAGTTCAATCCCTGGTACCAAATAGGATCCAACCAAGGGGGGTTGGAGCGATAGCACAGCAGGTAGGGCATTTGCCTTGCATGCAGCCAACCCGGGTTCGATTCCCAGCATCCCATATGGTCCCCCGAGCACAACCAGGAGTAATTCCTGAGTTCAGAGCCAGGAGCAACCCCTGTGCAATGCTGGGTGTGTCCCAAAAAGCAAAAACATAAAAAAATAAAATAGGATCCACCAAGCTCTGCCAGAAGTGATCTCTGAGCACAGAGCCAGGAGTCAACCCTGAGCACTGTCGGATGTGACCCTAAAACCAACCAAACCAAAACCAAATCATACACTGGTTGGTTTGGCTTGACTCTGTTTCACACACACACACACACACACACACACACACACACACACAGATCTGATTTCCCAAGTTTGGGGAGCATCAGACTCTCCCACAAAAATAAAACTTTTGTTTTAGGGCCACACTTGGTAGTGCTCCTGGGCTTCTCCTGGTCTCAAAAATTGGGGGTCACTCCTGACAGTGCTCGGGGGACCATACAGGGCCAGGGATCAAACCTGAGCTCCCGCATGCAAAGCCTGACCCCAGCCTATTGAGCTCTGTCTCTGTCCCTTTTTTTCAATAAAGTTTTATTTACAAGGGAACCAAGGAGACAGCTCAAAGGGCAGGAAGGAGCACATGCTTTGCAGGCAAGAGCCTTGGGTTCAGTCTGTAGTACCGTGAGATCCCCAGACCAACCTTGGGAATATTCCACACCCCCTTTTTTTATTTATAAAGAAGGCAGAACCTCTAAGCTAGAGAAGTATCAAGATCGCTCTGTTCTTTGTTTATTTTGGGGGTGGATCTTGTAACCTGGCCTGGAATTGTACCCATGACCTTATCCAGGCCGGGCAGACACTCCTTCAGGGAGCCACAGCTCCGTGACCCCTGGGATGCGTTTTTAGAAGCACTTCCTGTTTGAGGAGATATGCTTGGGGAAGTTGTCCAGGGTGCAAACCGGACATTTGGGTGGGAGGAATGTCCTGGGGGGTGGGGGACAGGAAGAGGGTCTGACCTGTTCCAGGAATAATAGAAAGGATCCTGGGTCTGGAGTCAAGAAAACAAGAGAAGGGGCCAGAGAGATAGTTCAGTGGGTAGGGCTCTTGTTTTGCATGCAGCTGACCCGGGTTCAATCCCTGCCAACCCATTGTATCTCCAGAGTCTCAGGAGTGATCCCTGAGGAGGCAGAAGTCAGTCCTGAGCATAACTGGGTGTGTCCTCCTCCCCACCCCCCAAAATGAAAAAACAAGAAGATCAATGAGACAAGTAGGGCTTGGAGCTGGCGCCAAGGGCTGGGGCATAGGCGTTGCAATGCAGAAGGCTCTGTTCCATGCAGTTTCCCAGAGCACTGAACCTGGAGTTGCTCCCAGGCATCACCAGGTGGTGCGGGTGGAGAGATAGGGTATTAGGAATGGTGCTTGCCTGGCATACAGCCGGCTCAGGTTGGATCCCAAAACCCTGTAGGGTCTCCTCAGCACCACCAGAAGTGATCCCTGAGCACAGAGCCAGGAGTAAATCCTGAGCACAGCTGGATGTGGCCAGAAAATGATTGAAAGAAAAGGGCGGAGGGGCTGGAGCAATAGCACAGCGGGTAGGGCGTTTGCCTTGCACCCGTCCGACCCGGGTTCGATTCCCAGCATCCCATATGGTCCCCTGAGCACTGCCAGGAGTGAGTCCTGAGTGCAGAGTCAGGACTAACCCCTGAGCATTGCTGGGTGTGATCCAAAAAGAAAAAAAAAAGAAAGAAAGAAAAGGGTGGGGTTGAGGGCTGGAGCGATAGCACAGCGGGTAGGGCATTTGCCTTGCACGCAGCCGACCTGGGTTCGATTCCCAGCATCCCATATGGTCCCCTGAGCACTGCCAGGAGTGATTCCTGAGTGCAGAGTCAGAACTAACCCCTGTGCATCACTGGGTGTGACCCAAAAAGAAAAAAAAGGGGGGGGGAGGGGAGATGGAGCGATAGTTCAGTGGGGAGGACGTTTGCCTTACACCAGGCTGACCTGGGTTCAATCCCCCGCACCCCATGTGGCCCCTCTGAGCCCTGCTAGGAGCAATACCTGCGCCTAGAGCCTGGAGTGAGCTCTGAACACAGCTGGGTGTCCCCCCCAGCCCCCCAAAGAAATAAAAAAGAGAGAGAGAGAGAGAGAAAAAGCAGTTGCATAGGGTCTGTCTGAGCCCTGGTCATTAGCATCTTGTATTGTGGGGAGTCGGTTTCCGCCCCCCAGAATGGACAGGAGGAGGACAGCCCCGGCCCCAGCCCCAGCTCCTTCTCTCTCCTCCCCAGACAACCTGGCCGCCGAGCTGGAGGCCAACCTGGGCCTCATCGAGGAGATTTCGGGGTTCCTGAAAATCCGCCGCTCCTACGCACTCGTCTCTCTCGCCTTCTTCCGGAAGCTTCGCCTGATCCGGGGAGAGACGCTGGAGATGGGGTAGGTGCGAGGGCGGGACCTGGCTGTGCCCTCCTTGTGGCTCGTGGGGGGAAGTGAGTGAATGAGTGAATGAGAAAGTGGCCTCCGCAGAGGAGTGGGTGAAGCCCACATGTGCGGGACCGGGGCCCCGCATGCAGCCTGCCCGGGTTCCATCCTCAGCATCCTCTAGGGTCTTCTGAGCACCGAGCCAGGAGTCAGCCCTGAGCATCGCCAGGTGTGGCCCAAATGCCAAAAAAAAAAAAAAAGAAAAGAAAAGAAAAGGAAAAGACATGGGTGCCGAGAGATAGGACAGCAGGAAAGATGCTCTGCTTTCTCTTCCCATAGGGGGTCCCCGATAACCTCCGGGACTCAGCGCAGCACCGCCGGGTGTAGGCCAACCCCACCCCCGGAGGAAAAAAACAAAAACAAAAGCAAAAACAATGTGTACGGACCAAATGGCGCCACACGGTCCCTCAGATACTGCCGGGAGGGACCCCCAAAGCTGGGATTGGGGGCCGGAGTGATAGCACAGTGGTTAGGGCGTTTGCCTTGCACGTGGCTGACCTGGGTTCGATTCCCAGCATCCCTCATGATCCCCGAGCACTGCCAGGAGTGATTCCTGAGTGCAGAGCCAGGAGGAACCCCTGAGTATCACCAAGTGGGACCCAAGAACTGAAGAGAGAGAGAGAGAGAGAGAGAGAGAGAGAGAGAGAGAGAGAGAGCACTTTGGGGGCTTTAGAGATATCCAGTAGGGAAGATACTTGCACCCAGCTGACCCCAGTTCCTTCCCCCAGTGCCCCATAGAGTCCCCTGGTCCCCATCAGGAGTGATCCCTGAGCCCAGAGCCAGGAATCAGCCCCAACGGCTGCCCGATCGTCTCTGATCCTCCCTGGGTGAGGAGCCCAGTGCTGCTGGCTCTGCCCTCAACACTGCCTGTGCCACCTCGGTCTCAGGCTTGCATCCCCCCCCCCGCGAATGAGCTGAGACCCTCCCTTCCCAGCCCCATCACCGCCCAATCCCCCTCGCAGCTGGCAGTGGGAGAGCCCAGTGATGAGGGGGCGCATGTGTGTCCCCAGGAACTACTCCTTCTATGCTCTGGACAACCAGAACCTGCGGCAGCTCTGGGACTGGAGCTCACACAAGCTCACGATCGCCCAGGGCAAGCTCTTCTTCCACTACAACCCCAAGCTCTGCCTGGCCGAGATCCACAAGATGGAGGAAGTGTCGGGAACCAAGGGCCGCCAGGAGCGCAACGACGTCGCCCTGAAGACCAACGGGGACCAGGCATCCTGTGAGTGGACTGGCCGGGGCTCCCTCCCATATGGAGTGCCCCCGAGAACGTGGCTGCTGCCCCGGCATTCACTGGGGTGTCATGGGGGGCTGCAGACCTAAGGTCTCGGCGTTCGGTTCATCAACTACAGAGCTGGATGCTGAAGACACCATGATGCAGTGGATGGATGGACGAATGGAGGGATGGACGGATGAATGGATGGATGATGGATGGATGGATAGACAGACGGATAGATGGACAGATAGATGAATGGATGGATGGACAGATGGATAGATGGACGAATGAATGGATGATGGATGGATGAATGGATGGATGGACAGATGGATAGATGGACAGATGAATGGATGATGGATGGATGGATAGACAGATGGATAGATGGACAGATGGATGGATGGATGGATGGATGATGGATGGATGGATAGACAGACGGATAGATGGACAAATGGATGAATGGATGGATGGACAGATGGATAGATGGACAGATGAATGGATGGATGGATGGATAGCTGGACAGATGGACGAATGAATGAATGATGGATGGATGAATGGATGGATGGACAGATGGATAGATGGACAGATGGATGGATGAATGGATGATGGATGGATAGACAGATGGATAGATGGATAGATGGATGGATGGATGAATGATGGATGGATAGACAGACGGATAGATGGATGAATGGATGGATGGACAGATGGATAGATGGACAGATTAATGGATGGATGGATGGACAGATAGATAGATGGACGGATGAATGGATGATGGATGGATGAATGGATGGATGGACAGATGGATAGATGGACAGATGGATGGATGAATGGATGATGGATGGATGGATAGACAGACGGATAGATGGACAGATGGATGGATGGATGAATGGATGGATGGACAGATGGATAGATGGACAGATGGATGGATGATGGATGGATGAATGGATGGATGGACAGATGGATAGATGGACAGATGGATGGATGAATGGATGATGGATGGATAGACAGACGGATAGATGGACAGATGGATGGATGGATGGATGATGGATGGATGGATAGACGGATAGATGGACAGATGGATGGATGGATGAATGGATGGATGGACAGATGGATAGATGGACAGATGAATGGATGGATGATGGATGGATGGATAGATGGACAGACAGATAGATGGAGTGTGTGGGTGGGTGGCTGCATGGATGGGTGGATGGATGAATGACGGACAGACAGGTGGATGCATAGACGAATGGGAGGGTGGCTTCATGGAGGATGGGTGGGTGGATGAGTTGATGGATGGGTATGTGGATGACTGAATGCCTGAATGGATTAATGGATGAATGAGTGAACAGATGGATGGATGGATGAATAAAATAGATGATGTCAACCCAAATGATCCAGCGGGTCCTATAGGTGCTGTGGTTGTCAGGCTTTCCCTTCCCCCCTCCAGTGTGAGCCTACCAGAGACTTCCGGGCAGTCCTGCAAGGTGCAATGTGGTCCCAGCACAGCAGGCCTGGAATTGAGGGAGGGAGGAGGGGAGTGAGGTCCGGGTGGAGAGTGGGGATGGGACAGCCTTGCAGTTCAGGGGCCCCGCTGCATCCCAAGAGTCATCTCTCCTACGTCCAGAGGGCACAAATCCATTTCCCTTGGAATTCTGTTTCTAAGGGGCCCTGTACAAGGCAACATGGACTGGGACCAATCTTACTCTATAAATAAAATCTCCTGTGGCTGGAGCGATAGCACAGCGAGTAGGGTGTTTGCCTTGCACACGAACAACCCAGATTTGATTCCCAGCATCCCATATGGTTCCCTGAGCACTGCCAGGAGTGATTCCTAAGTGCAGAGCCAGGAGTAACCCCTGTGCATCGCCGGGTGTGACCCAAAAAAGCAAAAATAAAAAAATAAAAAATAAAATAAAATCTCCTTCCCAGGGGTCAGAGCGATAGCACAGCAGGGAGGGTGTTTGCCTTGCACATGGCTGGCCCAGGTTCGATTCCCGGTATCCCATATGGTCCCTGAAGCACCACCAGGAGTGATCCCTGAATGCAGAACCAGGAGAAACCCCCGGAGCATCGCTGGGTGTGACCCAAAAAGCCAAAAAACAAAAATCAAACTAAACAAAAAAGCCAATCCCCTTCCCAGGGGCTGGAGCAATAGTACAACTGGTCGGGTAGTTGCCTTGCACAAACAAGGCCAACCCAGGTTCAATCTTTAGCCTCCCATCGGGTCCCCCGATCACTGCCGGCAATGATTCTTGAGCACAGAACCAGGAGTAAGTCTTGAGTCTGACCAGATATGACCCAAAAACCAAAAAGAAAAAAAGAGGGGCTGGAGCAATAGCACAGTGGGTAGGGCGTTTGCCTTGCACGTGGCTGACCCGGGTTCGATTCCCAGCATCCCATATGGTCCCCTGAGCGCCGCCAGGAGTAATTCTTGAGTGCAGAGCCAGGAATAACCCCTGTGCATTGCCAGGTGTGACCCAAAAAAGCAAAAAAAAAAAAAAAGAAAAAGAAAAAAAGAATCCCTTTCCCATGGGGCTGGAGAGATAGTGCCGGGGTTAAAGCACTTGCCTTGCACACAGCCGGCCTGGGTTCAATCCCTAGCACTGCCTAATATCCCCCCGACCCCCACCAGGAAGGATCCCTGAGCACAGAGCCAGGAGTCAGCCATGAGCACTGCTGGCTGTACCCCAACACTCTTCCCCCAATGAATAGGTGCCCACTGCGAAAACCGAGCATCCAGACAAGACCCACAGGTTGCCTGGTCGGACTGGCTCGTGCCTTGAGTCCCCGGCCACAGGGGATGCCACATGCCACTTCCGGAAAGGGACTCCTGAGCCCTCAAGGGCACAGCACCGGCTCGTGGGGGGGCTGAAACCAACTAATGGGACCGAACCGCTCTTGTGTGTTTGTCAATCCTCCCTAGGCGAAAACGTGCTGCTGAAATTCTCTTTCATTAAGACATCCTTCGACAAGATCATGCTTAAGTGGGACCCCTACTGGCCCCCCGACTTCAGAGACCTCCTGGGGTTCATGCTTTTCTACAAGGAAGCGTAAGTGGAAGAGGGAAGAGGGGAGGTGCTGGATGTGGGTTTGTTCCCATCATCCCCTGGGGAGGGGAGAGGAGAGGCGGGTCCCCCATCCACAGAAACTGTTAGCAGAAATGACTTCTTATTTTCTTTGGGGCTGGGGCCCGGAAGTCCATTAGGTTCCCAGAAATGGCCCCAAACTCTTGTGTAGGGTAAGGACCACTAGGCTGTAGTTTGTTTGTGTTTTTTGGGGGGCGGGGGTCACACCCGGTGATGCTCAGGGTTTTCTCCTGGCTCTGCACTCAGGAATTAGTCCTGGCGGTGCTCATGGGGACCTCTGGGATGCCGGGGACCGAACCTGAATCAGCTGTGTACAAGGCAAATGCCCTCCCCGCTGGACTACCGCCCTGGCCCCTGGTTTGTGCTTTGAAACTCAGGAGCAAGATCCTGGGGGTTGAGTTTTGTTTTGTTTGGGGGCCACACCCAGCAGTGCTCAGGGCTGACTCCTGGCTCTGAGCTCAGGGACCACTCCTGGTGGTGCCCAAGAGACCCTATGAGATGCCAGGGATTGAACCCGGGTCGGCCACGTGCCAGGCAAATGCCGTCGTCCCCGCTGGAATATCACCTCGGCTCCCTCTTTTATTTTATTTTTAATCACTGCTGTATTTTCTCTTTTTTTTCCATTTCTATGTCTTTTTTTTTTATTGAAACACTAGGAGGTACAGTTGTACACTTATAAATTTTTGTGCTTGGGTTTCAATTATACAATGATAAAGTACCCATCCCTCCACCAGCGCCCATCCTCCATACCACCATGGGTCCCAGCATCCCCTCCCCCCCGTCCCCCCATCCCACCCTGCCTCTGTGGCAGGGCATTCCCTTTTGTTCTCTCTATTTCCTTTTGGGTCCTGTGATTTGCAAGAGAGGCATTGAGAATCACTGCTGTATTTTCTCCACATTTCAAGCATGGCAGGGAAGGATGCATCTGCCAATGGACTGTTTTCACTCTTACTTTAATTGCGCCATTTGGTGCCATTCAGAGCATTCAGGAGGCGGGAGAGATAGTCCGGGGGCGAAGGCGCTGGCCTTGACATGACTTACCCTGGTTCCATTCCCCGCATTGCACAGGGACCCCCAAGCCCCTGCTGGGATGGTCTGGGTGTTTCCCAGAAGCATTTTCTTCTTCTTTTTTTTTTTTTTAAAAAATTCGTTTTGGGGCCACACCTGGCAATGCTCAGGGCTGACTTCTGGCTCTGAGCTCAGGGATCATGCCTGGCAGTGCTCAGGGGACCCCATGGGGTGTCGGGGATTGAACCCGGGTCAGTCATGTGAAAGGCCAGCGCCCTCCCGGCGTATTCCTTCCTCAGTTCCCAGCATTGACCGTAAATTGCCAGACCCTTCCCCTTCCCACTCCCACCATCCCACCCCATCTTCTGAGCACCATATAGGAGGTTCCCCCCCCCCAAATAAATACATTCAGGATGCGGGGACCCCACTGTCTCTGGGACAGATCCTCCAGCTGGAACTGGAGGCAGACACCCAAGGAGGCAGACACCCACAACCATTGCTGAAGTTTTCTGATTTTATTTATTTCTATTTTGAATTTTTGGGGGCCACATTCAGCAGTGCTCAGGGCTGATTCCGGGCTCTGAGCTCAGGGAACCCTCCTGGTGGGGCTCAGGGGATCCTATGGGATGCCTCGGGTCGAACTGGGGTCGGCCGCGTGCAAAACCAGCGCCCTCCCCACTGTCCTGTCATCCCCTACTCCGAACATTCCATCCCTGAAGTCTGGACACATGCAACTTCATGTCCCCCGATGGGGCCCTGGGCCTGTCCATTGCCTGTTTTCCACCCTCTTCCTCATCCTCGCCGCCCTCACGGGCAGTGGAGCCGTTGTGGGTGTGGGTGGGGTGGACACAGGGTTTCCTTGTCCCCCACCTCAGCCTGGCCTCCCTCGCCCCCGCTGTAGCCCCTACCAGAACGTGACGGAGTTTGACGGGCAGGACGCGTGCGGCTCCAACAGCTGGACCGTGGTGGACATCGACCCACCGCCGAGGTCCAACGACCCCAAATCCCAGTCCCACCCGGGGTGGCTGATGCGGAACCTCAAGCCCTGGACCCAGTATGCCATCTTCGTCAAGACCCTTGTCACCTTTTCGGATGAACGTCGAACCTACGGGGCCAAGAGCAACATCATCTACGTGCAGACCAATGCCACGAGTAAGCCCAGGGGCTGTTGCCCCAGGCTGGGGGGTGAGGGGGGCAGGGGGAGGCGTGTGCAGGCCCTGGGTGCTAACTCCGGGCCAGCTGGAGGCCGGAGAGATGGTCTAGCAGGGGCTGGCGCCATAGCACAGTGGGCAGGGCATTTGCCTTGCATGCGTCCGACCCAGGTTCAATTCCCGGCATCCCGTAGGGTCCCTTGAGCACTGCCAGGAGTAATTCCTGAGTGCAGAACCAGGAGGAACCCCTGAGCAACACCAGGTGTAGTCCCCCCTAAAACAAACAAAGCAAAATAAAAACCCACAAGGGGGCTGGAGCGATAGCGCGGCGGGTAGGGCGTTTGCCTTGCATGCAGCCAACATGACTGACACAGGTTCGATTCCCATCATCCCATATGGTCCCCTGAGCACCGCCAGGAGCAATTCCTGAGTGCATGAGCCAGGAGTAACCCCTGAGCATCGCCAGGTGTGACCCAAAAAGCAAAAAAAATAAAATAAAAATAAAAATAAATAAATAAATAAAAACCCACAAAGGGGCTCCCCTTGTATGCACGCCATGGGGATTTGATCCCTGTCACCCCTCATTGGGTCCCTGAGTCCTGCACTCAGGAGTGATTCCTGAGTGCAGAGCCAAGAGTGACCCCTGAGTATCACCAGGTATGTCCCCCTGACCCCAGACCCAAACGAAATAAAATCAAGAGAAGCCAGAGAAATAGTCCACCAGGGAAGGCGCTTGCCTTATGGGCGGCCCACCTGGGTTTGATCCCTGGCACCCCGTTAGGGTCTTCTTGAGCACCGCCAGGCATGATCCCTGAGCACAGAACCAGGAGGCAGCCCTGAGTACCACCAAGTGAGGCCCCCCGCAAAGAAACAAGAACAAAAAGTCCTCTGACACCCTCCCCCCCTCTCAGTGGAGGAGGGAGCAAGACCCCTTTTAGGAAAAGTGATGGGACATTCTCCAGAGTGAAAAAAAATTAAGCCCCAGAGATGTGGGCACCCCCCCCCTCCGGCCACTTTCCTTCTAGTTTCATCTCTGGGCACCCACCCCCCCAATTTGGGGGGGTGGGTGGGTGAGCTAGCGAACATTCTAGCAAGTTGGTGTGTTTCAGAGGGACCCAGTGGGGTGCTGGGGATCGAACCTGGGTCCACACGCGCAAGGCATGTGCATTCCTCACTGTCTCACTCCCTCCAGCCCTGAAACTTTGACTTTGCAGCCCCTCCCCGAACCCTCCCACCCCGCCCCATCCCTCCACTTCCTGGATCCAGGCTTCTGGGAGATGAAATGACTATGGACAGATCTGGGGAAGTGGGTGGGCACAGCCCCCAAGGGCCAGCCGCATCCTCACGGCCCACCACGTCCTTCCTCTCCCCTCCGCCCTCCAGATCCCTCCGTCCCCCTGGACCCGATCTCCGTCTCCAATTCCTCGTCCCAGATCATCCTCAAGTGGAAGCCGCCGTCGGACCCCAACGGGAACATCACCCACTACCTGGTGTTCTGGGAGCGGCAGATAGAGGACAGCGAGCTCTTCGAGCTGGATTATTGCCTCAAAGGTGAGCACGGGGCCGGGCAGAGCCATAGCACAGCAGGGAGGGCGTTTGCCTTGCACGCGGCCGACCCGGGTTCAATCCCCGGCATCCCATAGGGTCCCCCAAGCACCGCCAGGGGTGATTCCTGAGCACAGAGTCAGGAGGAACCCCTGAGCATCGCCAGGTGGGACCCCAAAAGCAAATAAATAAATGAAAGGTGAGCATGGGGCTGGTGTTCGCGCCCTGCCTAGGGCTTCCTGGGAAAGATCCCGTCCAGTCCCATCCCCCGGCCTCTGGCCGTGACTGGGAAAACCCGCATGCGTGGTTATTTATTTATTTATTTATTTATTTGCTTTTTGGGTCACACCCGGTGATGCACAGGGGTTACTCCTGGCTCTGCACTCAGGAGTTACTCCTGGCAGTGCTCAGGGGACCACATGGGATGCTGGGAATCGAACCCGGGTCGGCCGTGTACAAGGCTCCAGCCCCTGTCATTAGATTTTTATATCTCATGTTTTTTTTTCTGGGGGGGGGGCAGGCGTGCCACACCCAGCAGGGTTCAGGGGTACCAGGCATCGAACCCCGATGTTCCCAGCCTTGCCACAGCCCCGTGAGCTGTCCGCCTGGCCTCTCCACTCGTTGGAGTGAAGGACTTCCCCGGGCCTGACCTTGGGGGTGCAGTGGGGAGCCGCCCGCAGGACAGGGCAGAGTTCTGGGGCTGGCCCCGGCTCAGGCTCGCTCACCAACTGGCCGCCTCCTTTTTGGGAGAAGGGACCAGAGGCCAGCCGGTCGCTGTGAGCTGTCCCAGCGCTAAGCTCATCGCTATATGCGGGCCTCTGACCTCACCCTCCGCCTGCCGCCTCCACTGTTTGCTTCAGGGTTTTTATTTGACGCTCTGGGTACCCCCCCGCCCCCCAGGCGCCCCGGCTGCCGGTTCCAAATGCCACCAGCCGTAACAGAGCCACTCTCTCCTGCCCTGTGTGTATGTGTCCTGGAAGTTCTCAGATCTCCAGTGACGAATGTGATTATAAATAGGGTCGGGGCTGGGTTTCTTTGGAGCCGTCCACACAGGCTTTAGGCTCGTGAAAATAAACTCGCTAAGGACCGGTCCCAGGAGAAACCTCGTCCTCAGATTCCTTGGAGACCCAGAGAGGCAGGCTGGGGGTGGGGGTAGGGGGTGTTTTATGGGGACACGGTTGCCGGGGACGACGTGGCAGGTCACATAACCACATGAATGATGGTGCTTTGGGACATGCGCGGGGCTTGGAGGTAGGACGGTGGAGGTCAGGGAGCCTGTGTCTGACCCAGGCTTGGTCACTGGGTTGCCCGGGGTTTCGTGGACCAGTTCAGGCAGAGGTGGACCCCAAGCCTTTTTTTTTCTTTTCTTTTCGAGTCACACCTAGCAATGTTCAGGGGTTACTCTGGCTCCGCACTCAGAAATTACTCCTGGCGGTGCTTGGGGGACCATATTGGATGCTGGGAATCGAACCCAGGTCGGCCGCGTGCAAGGCAAACGCCCTACCCACTGTGCTATCACTTTTTTTCTTTTTTCACCCCAAACCCTTCATGTTGACCTGCCTGAGTGATAAATCAGTCACCTGTGTCTCCACTCAAAAAAAAAATCAGCAAAACTCACACTTGAAATTGTGAGCACCAGATTCCAGAGAGATAGTGCAATGGGCCGAACCCTTTCCTGGAATGCGGCCAACCCGGGTTTGATCCCCAACACGGCCAGGAGTGACCCTTGAGTGCAGAGCCAGGAGTCAGCCCTGAGCACTGCCAGGTGTGACCCCAACCTTCCTCCCCTCTCAAAAAAAAAAGCGGGGGGCTGGCCAGCTGACTAGGTCCAGCCTGAAACAGTTATTATTCTTAAATAAACAATTCTAAAGTTATTATTTTGGTTTATTTTCGGGGGAATGGGGGAGGCATCCCTGGAGGTGCTCAAGGCTTACTCTGGGCCCTGTTTTCAAGGATCACAGGTGGTAGTGCCCAGGTATTGAACCCAGGTCGGCTGTGTGCAAGGCCAGCATCCTTCCTCCTGGAGTCTCTCTCCAGCCCCTGTTTTTTTGTGGATGTTTTTGATATATATTTTTTTAAATTTTTATTAGTCGAACACCATGGGATACAGTTGTTCTTACAAATTTTTGTGCTTGGGTTTCAATTAGACAATGTTCGAGTACCCATCCCTCCACCAGTGCCCATTTCCCACCACCACAGATCCCAGTATCCCTCCCACCCCCCATCCCCCCATCCCACCCTGCCTCTGTGGCAGGGCATTCCCTTTTGTTCTCTCTCTCCTTTTGGGTGTTGTGGTTTGCAAAAGAGATATTGAGTGGCAATCATGTTCGGTCTATAGTCTACTTTCAGCATGCATCTCCCATCCTGGGAGGATCCTCCCAACACCCTTTATTTGGTGCTCCCTTCTCTATCTGAGCTAGCCTTTAGTCCTAGCATGTGCGGCTGGCCTCCAAGCCATGGAGTAAACCTCCTGGTACTTATCTCGGCTATTCTTGGGTGTTAGTCTCCTATTTTGTTACTTTATGTTCCCTAGATGAATGCAATCTTTCTATGTCTATCCTTCTCTTTCTGACTCATTTCGCTTAGCATGATACTTTCCATGTAGTCCCACTTGTATGTAAATTTCATGACTTCATCTTTTCTAACAGCTACATAGTACTCCATTGTGTAGAGGTACCAAATTTTCTGTTTTTGATATTCTTGTTTGCTTGATTTGGTTTGGGGATCACACCCGGAGATGCTCAGGGTTGACTCAGGGCTGAGTCCTGGAGTAGCTTAATGCTATTGGGTGGGTCCTGGTGTGCAGGGAGCAAGGCCTTATCCCCCAACCCTCCCCCTCTCTATCCCCCAGATTGGCCCCCTTTATCGAGCTCTGAAGGTCTGTGTTTCCTAGAGGTTCCTGAACCCACCCACCCGCCCTCTGCCCTCATCGCATTGTCCCCGCTTCTAAAAATCGAATCCCCATGAGACACAGTTACAAGGTTGTTCATGAGGGTGTCAGTCATACAGTGTTCCAGCATTTGTTCTTTACCAATGTTCTTACCTGCCACCCACCCATGTTCCTGGTTTCTCTCCCACCATCCTCCAGCCCTTGACAGACACGTTTCTTCTCTCTGTCTCTGTCTCTGTCTTTGTCTCTGTCTCTCTCTCTGTCTCTCCCTTCTTGGGCATTAGGGTTTGCAATACAGGTACTGATTCGGAGGAGATGGCCACACTGGGCTATGCTCAGGGCTGACTCCTGGCCGTGCTCGGGGCACCCTACGGGCTGCCGGGAATCGAACCCGGGCCGCCCGCGTGCAAGGCGAGCGCCCTCCCCACTGTCCGCTCACTCTGGCCTCCCGCCCTGTAGGCTTGAAGCTGCCCTCTCGGGCCTGGTCCCCTCCGTCCGAGGCTGACGGCGCCCAGAAGCAGAACCGGAGTGAGTCCGAGGAGGCCGGGAGCGAGTGCTGTTCCTGCCCCAAGACGGACTCGCAGATCCTCAAGGAGCTGGAGGAATCGTCCTTCCGGAAGACGTTTGAGGATTATCTGCACAACGTCGTTTTTGTGCCCCGGTGAGTGTCGGGGGGTGGGGTGGGGTGGTGTTGCGGGGTGGAGGGGCGTCCCTGAAGGAGCAGAATGACGGCGCTGCGTCAGGGGGACCCAGACGCAGGCAGAGGAAGGGGTTGGGGGCTGTGGCAGCCGCAGCTGAGCCAAGCACATCGTCCCAAGAACGGGACAGGCACAGGCCGGAACTGTAGCACAGTAGGGAGGGCGCTTGGCTTGTACCCAGCCGACCCGAGTTCGATCCCCGGGATCCTATAAGATCCTTCAGAGAGATCCTAGAGCTCAGAGAGCCAGGAGGAAGCGCTGAAGACCACTGGGTGTGGCCCCCTCTTCCCCCCCCCCAAAAAAAATACAAAACACTTGATTTCCTGTCCAATTTTTTTTTTTTTTTTGCTTTTTGGGTCACACCCAGCGATGCTCAGGGGTTACTCCTGGCTCATGCACTCAGGAATTGCTCCTGGCGGTGCTCGGGGGACCATATGGGATGCTGAGAATCGAACCCGGTCGGGCTGCGTGCAAGGCAAACACCCTACCCGCTGTGCTATCACTCCAGCCCCCTGTTCCCATCTTTTAAGTTTTTTGGTTTTAGTTATTTTGCTTTGGCCTCACCTGGCAGTGCTCAGGGCTGACTCCTGGCTCTGCACTCAGTACATCACTTCTGAAGGGACTCAGGGAACCCTGGGAGGTGCCAGGGATTGAACTCGGGTCGGCGGCGTGCCAGACAGAGCCCTCCCCACTGGACTGTCACGAGGTCCCTCTGGAGTTATTCTGTGTTCCTTTCGGATGCCAATCCTGGCGTGGCTCAGGAGGTCCCTGCAGTGCTGGGGGTGCCAACCATGTGCTCCGACTCTTTGAACATCTCTCCCAGCCCCCACATGCCTGCACTTCCCTTTGGGGTCCTGCTCCCAATCTTGGGGACCTGAAGCTACTCCAGGGCTGCAGAGTTCAGTGCTCCGATTCCGGAATGTGCTGCTTTTTAGGCCTGAAAGGGCAGGGGAGGGGGCACCGAGCCTTGTTGGGGGGCCCTGGGGGAGGGACACATGGAACCAAAATCAGACTCGGGTTCTTGCCTGAGCAGGGCATGCACCCCGACCTCTGACCCCTGAACCTGTCTCTGAGTCCTGAGACAAATTCCATAGGATTATTGAGGCGAATCCTAACGAATTCCTGGCTGGCTCTCAGCTTGATTTATCACGGAGGGAATCCTGAGGCCTGTCTAGAGTCTCTTTCTCTCTGTCTCTATCTCTGTCTCTGTCTCTGTCTCTCTCTCTCTTTCTCTCTCTCTGTCTCTCTGTGTCTGTGTCTCTGTCTCTGTCTCTCTTCCTGCCTTGTCCTCTAGGTAGAAGTCAGGGTTTAGGTCCTAGCATTCGACCATTCAACCCCTGGAGCATGCACTCACACACATCCGACACACACACACACACACACACACACATTTCAACATGCCAGATTTCTTATTTATTTATGTATGTATTATTTGGTTTGGGGGGGTCACACCCAGCGATGTTCAGGGCTGACTCCTGGCTCTGCACTCAGGAATTACTCCTGGCGGTGTTCAGGGGACCCTATGGGATGCTGGAGATTGAACCCCAGGGTCGGCAGCCTACAAGGACAGCGTCCTCCCACTGTCCTTTTGCTCCAGCCCCCACTGGGTTTCCTTCAGTGAGTAGAAGGACGTGCCGATGTCCACGCAAGTTTGATTTCATGCTTCCGGAACTTTCCGTGGACTGTGATTCCTACCTCGGACGTGCTGGACTTCCTCTCTTGAGCGCAGACTCACCCGTGCAGGCGTTTCTGCTCCCCCCAGGGAGACACAAAGTTCTAGGCACTTCTTTCATCCTCCTTGCCCTTCCCTCAGGCAGAGGTGATGGGGGGGGGAACAGGGAGAGACAGGAGGGGTCACAGGGCTCTCATGGTTTACTCCTCTGAGAAATGGAATTTTGGAAGCAGTATTTTTTTTTCCTTTTTGATGCACAGGGGTTACTCCTGGTTCTTCACTCAGGAATTACTCCTGGCAGGCTCCGGGGGACCATATGGGATGCTGAGAATCGAATCCGAGTTGGCCGCGTACAAAGCAAATACCCTACCCACTGTGCTATCGCTCCAGCCCCTGGAAGCAATTTTCAGGGCCAGAGATCGAGGACAGTGGGGAGGACGCTGGCCATGCATGCGGCTGGCCTGGGTTCCACCCCCAGCATCCCAGAGGGTGACCCCCTGAGCAGGGTGAGCCCTGCCTGAGCATTGCCTGGGGTGACTCTAACAAAACCAAGTGAAAAGACACCGAGTGAGTTCGTGCAAACCACAGGAGGGTGCTGCCCCTAGGTGCTCCGGAGTGGGGGAGCAGGTTCTCCCGGCGGGATAGGGGCTGCCCTGCACGTTTTTTTTTTGGGGGGGGGGTGCTGAGCTTCCGGTTCCACGGACACCAGCAGTGCCTTGACTTGGTCCCAGTTAAACCTTTTGTTGTTCTTTTTTTTTTTGGAGGGGAGAAGAGCGTCACCTAGTGGTGCATGGCGGCTACTTCCAGCTCTGCGTTGCCAGGACGGGACTGGACAGTTTGCTGGCCTGTGGGTGCTCCCGGCTGGGGCTACTCCGTTTAACGCCTTTGTTCTCCGACCCATGGAGCTCTGTCTCTCCCGCCTGGTTTTGGGGGTTTGGAGCCACATCCGGTGGTGCTCAGGAACTCCTGGCTCGGTGCTCAGGAACTCCTGGCTTGGTGCTCAGAGGTCACACCCGGTGGGGTTGGGGGCAAGGAGTGGTATGAGATGCAAGAGGACTCAAACTTGGGGCTCCCAGGCGCAACACATGCTTTCTTTTCTTTCTTTCTTTCTTTCTTTCTTTTCTTCTTTCCTTTCCTTCTTTTTTCTTTTCTTCAAGCCCTTTGCGTGGTCTCAGCCGGCCCCAACACACTCCGCCTTACACCAAATGTGATTCTACAAACGTGATCCTAAAACATGTCTCTGGGGCTGGAGCGATAGCACAAGCGGGTAGGGCGTTTGCCCTGCACGCAACTGACCCGGGTTCGATCCCCAGCATCCCATATGGTCCCCTGAGCACCGCCAGGAGTAATTCCTGAGTGCAGAGCCAGGAGTAACCCTTGTGCATCGCCGGGTGTGACCCAAAAAGCAAAAAAAAAAAGAAAAAGAAAAAGAAAAAAGAAAAACATGTCTCTGCACTGGAGCGATAGTCCAGCGAGGGAGGGCACTGGCCTTGCACTGGGCCAACCCAGGTTCGATCCTCAGCATCCCATAGGATCCCCCGAACATCACCAGGAGTGATTCCCTGAGCATATAGCCAGGAGTAAGCCCTGAGCACAACACCAGGAGTAATCCCTGAGCACAACACCAGGAGTAACCCCTAGGCACTGCCGGTGTGGCCCCCAAACAAACAAAATTTCTGCTTCTGGGCACCTTGGCATACATATATGCGGCCTTGTCTGGTCTGCAAGAAGGAAGGGAAGGAGGAGGTGGAGCACACGCCTCGCCGGGTTTCAGATGCACTCGTGTACACGCAGACACGTGCTCACATGCACGCACACGCTCGCGCACACATAAATGAAAAGGGTAGGGGCGTGGGCTCCGGGGAGGGGCAGGAGGGGTGACTGGGGTGAAGGAGTCCTGGAAAATAAGGTTTATTTTCTTTTCAGGCAGGTGTGCGGCCCTGTGCTGTCCTCTAGTGGCCATTCAGGGTATAGCCGCCCATAGAGCGAGGCTTAGAAGCCCACCCTTAAGAGTTTTCTTTCTTTCTTTCTTTCTTTCTTTCTTTCTTTCTTTCTTTCTTTCTTTTCTTTTCTTTTTGGGTCACACCCGGCGATGCACAGGAGTTATTCCTGGCTCACGCACTCAGGAATTACTCCTGGCGGTGCTCGGGGGACCATATGGGATGCTGGGAATCGAACCCGGGTCGCCTGCGTGCAAGGCAAACACCGTACCCGCTGTGCTATCGCTCCAGCCACTCTTTCTTTCTTTCTTTCTTTCTTTCTTTCTTTCTTTCTTTCTTTCTTTCTTTCTCTTTTATTTTTTCCATTCTCTCTGGTTTGTTTTTGGGCCACTGGCCGACCCGAGTTTGATTCCTCCGCCCCTCTCAGAGAGCTTGGCAAGCTACCGAAAGTATCTTGCCCGCACGGCAGAGCCTGGCAAGCTACTTGTGACGTATTCGATATGCCAAACACAGTAACAACAAGTCTCATGATGGAGACATTACTGGGCCCGCTCGAGCAAATCGATGAACAATGGGAGGACCGTGACCGTGACCGTGACCCAACGGTACTCAGGACTGACTCTTGGCTCTGTGCTCTGGGGTCACTCCTGGTGGGACTCAAAGGACCCTACGGAATTCCGGGCATTGATTGAACCCTGGCTGGCCCCGTGCCAAGCAGGCGCCCTCCCTGCTATACTATTGCTCCCACCCTCTTTCTCCTTCCTGGAGGCTGTGTTTGTTGTACAGTACTCCAGGAACTCGCCGCCCCTTCTAGAATGATCTGTGGTGGTCACAGATATGCATATGCTGAGACAGAATTTTTTTTGCTGAAAACGTGAAGGCCCATTGTAAAGCCCTTAAAGAAGGTTTGCTGGCCAGTGAGGTGGGAGACAGGGGGAGGGTGGCAGCAGAGAATTGAGTAAGACAATCAATACAGATCAATATAGTCATGTCCTGAGTGGATAAAGAACCCTGGAGATGGACTGAAGCATGGGAACCAGGGGAAGCAAGCGAAAGCCCAAGACAGAACATTAAAGGGACTGGAGCAGGGAGGGCATTTGCCTTGCACGTGGGTTCGATCCCCAGCATCCCATAAAGACCCCCGAGCACTGCCAGGAGTAATTCTTGAGTGCAGAGCCAGGAGTCACCTCTGAGCATCACCAGGTGAGACCCAAAAAGGCAAAGAGAGAGAGAGAGAGAGAGAGAGAGAGAGAGAGAGAGAGAGAGAGAGAGAATTAAAGACAGACTCTTTAATTCTGGGCTGGAGTGATAGCACAGCGGGTAGGGTGTTTGCCTTGCACGCGGCCGACCCGGGTTCGATTCCCAGCATCCCATATGGTCCCCCAAGCACGGCCAGGAGTAATTCCTGAGTGCATGAACCAGGAGTAACTCCTGTGCATCGCTGGGTGTGACCCAAAAACCAAAAAAAAAAAAAAAAAAAAGACAGACTCAATAACACATTCCCAAAATGAACACAGGAATGGGGGAGGGGAAGGTGTTTCTACCTGATGGGGCAAAGAAAAGTGAATAAAGAGATAAAATTACACACTTAAATATTTTGGGCTGACAAACCAACCAACAAAAAAATACCTCCTGGGGTAAAGATGACAGTGGGTGAGTCAGGTCAGGGCCAACTCCTGGCTCTGTGCTCAGGGATCACTCCTGGCAGAACTGGGGGACCCCATGGGGTGCCGGGGATCGAACCTGGGTCAGCTGCGTGCAAGGCCAGCTACTTCCCTGCTTGTCTGGTTCAGGTTTTTCAATAAATTAACTAGTTATGGGGAGGGGAGGGGCTGGAGCGATAGCACAGTGGGTAGGGCATTTGCCTTGCACGCGGCCGACCCGGGTTCGATCCCCAGCATCCCATAGGGTCCCCTGAGCACTGCCAGGAGTGGCCAGGAGTGATTCCTGAGTGCAGAGCCAGGAGGAACCCCTGAGCATTGCTGGGCGTGACCCAAAAAGAAAAAAAAGGGGGGGGGGCTGGGGCAATAGCACAGCGGGGAGGGCGTTTGCCTTGCACGCGGCCGACCCGGGTTCAATCCCCAGCATCCCATAGGGTCCCCTGAGCACCGCCAGGAGTGATTCCTGAGTGCAGAGCCAGGACTAACCCCTGTGCATCGCTGGTAGGGCATTTGCCTTGCACGCGGCCAACCCAGGTTCGATTCCCAGCATCCCATATGGTCCCCCGAGCACCGCCAGGAGTGATTCCTGAGTGCAGAGCCAGGAGTAACTCCTGTATATCGCCAGGTGTGACCCCCCCAAAAAAAAGCAAAAAAAATGGGGAGACGGGGGAGGGGGGTGCGGGTGGAGGCCAGCCTAATCGGCTGCCCTTCCTGTCTCCACAGGCCGTCACGGAAGCGCCGGGCATTGGGCGAAGTGGCCAATGTGACGGCTGAGTCGGTGCCCACGGTGCTGGTCACCCCCAGCGCCCCGTTCACCACCAGCCTGCCCATGAGCACGGAGGAGCCGAGGCTGTTCGAGAAGGTGGTCAATAAGGAGTCGCTGGTCATCTCGGGCCTCCGCCACTTCACTGGGTACCGCATCGAGGTGCAGGCCTGCAACCAGGAGGTTCCCGACGAGCGCTGCAGTGTGGCCGCCTATGTGAGCGCCCGCACCATGCCCGAAGGTGCGTACCCGGAAGCCAGGCGCAACCCTCCAGGCGTCTTTTCTATTCAGGGGGGTGGGGGGACCACACCTGGTGATGCTCGGGGCTGACTCCCGGGTTCAGCACGTAGGCATCACCCTTGGCAGGGTTAGAGGTGCCTGGGCTCGAACCCGGGTCGGCCGCGTGCAGGGCCAGTGCCCTGCGGCTGTCCTATCGCTCCAGCACACGCCTTGGTGCTTTTATCATTGCTCTGTTCAGACCGTTTTTTTGTTTGTTTTTGTTTTTTTTTCCTTTTTGGGTCACACCCGGCGATGCTCAGGGGTTCCTCCTGGCTCCACACTCAGGAATTACTCCTGGCGGTGCTCAGGGGACCATACGGGATGCTGGGAATCGAACCTGGGTCGGCCGCATGCAAGGCAAACGCCCTACCCGCTGTGCTATTGCTCCAGGCCCCCAACTAAACAATTTTTAAGGGAAAAAATATATATATATATGTATATACAAAAACAAGACTGAGGGAAGCATTCAACATTAAAGAAAAAAAATAGGGCTGGAGTGATAGTATATCAGGGAGGGTGCTGGCCTTGCACACAGTTGACTTGGGTTCGATCCTCAGTATCCCAGAGAGTCCCCTGAGCCCCACCAGGAGTGATTCCTGAGTGCAGAGCCAGGAGTAAGCCCTGAGCATTTCTACGTGTGGTCCTCCTCCCCCCCAGAAAAAATATTGTTTAATTGAAGGGCTGGAGAGATAGTACAACAGGTTAGGCACTTGCCTTACGTGCACCTGACCTGGGTTCGATCCCCGGCACCTCATCGGACCTCCTGAGCCCACCGGAAGTTATCCCTGATCACACACACGCCAGGAGTCAGCCCTGAGCACCGCCGGATGTGAACCAAAAACCGGGAAAGACTTGTTTGAGAGTCTGGAGAGATAGCTCAGTGGGTCGGTTGGGAGGTTCCGCCCCCCAGGGTGGGGGTGGAAAGACCCTGGTTGCTTGATAACCCCTCCCCCTTCCAGCCAAGGCAGACGACATCGTGGGCCCCGTGACCCATGAGATCTTCGAGAACAATGTCGTGCACTTGATGTGGCCGGAGCCCCAGGAGCCCAACGGGCTGATCGTGCTGTATGAAGTGAGTTACCGGCGCTACAGCGATGAGGTAAGGTCACTCCAGACTTGGCCAGACTCCACCTCCAGTGCTCCTCTGTTAAAGGCATATCACAGAAGCTGCTGCTTCTCTCTCTCTCTCTCTCTCTCTCTCTTTCTTTTTGGGTCACACCCGGCGATGCACAGGGGTTACTCCTGGCTCATGCAATCAGGAATTACTCCTGACAGTGCTCGGGGGACCACATGGGATGCTGGGAGTCGAAACCGGGTTGGCTTCGTGCAAGGCAAACACCCTACCCGCTGTGCTATCGCTCCAGCCCCCACTCCCTGAGAAGAACATTTGGACTAGGGAACCCCTCACCCCAATGACCCCCCACTCCTGCCTCGTGTTCTCGCTGTTATTGTCATATGATGCATTATGAGGGTGGGAGTGGCATTTGGTTTGGTTTTCTTGTTTTTCCTTTCTTTCTTTCTTTCTTTCTTTCTTTTTTCTTTCTTTCTTTTTGCTTTTTGGGTCATACCTGGCAATGCACAGGGGTTATTCCTGGCACTGCACTCAGGAATCACCCCTGGCAGGGCTCAGGGGACCATATGGGAGGCTGGGAATCGAACCCAGGTCGGTCGCATGCAAGGCAAACGTCCTACCCACTGTGCTATTGCTCCAGCCCCGCCCCCCTTTTTTTTAAAATTCTTTTTGTTGATTTGGTTTGGTTTGGGGGATACACCCGGCAGTGTTCAGGGCTCACGCCTGGCTCTGTGTTCAGGAATCACTCCTGGTGGTCTTGGGGGGGACTCTATATGGTGCTTCGGATCAGTGCTGAGCATCAAACCAGGGTTGGTAACTTGCAAGGCAAGTGCTTTGTGTCTTGGGTTTTTGGTTTTTCACTCCTTGAGGTGCTTGGAGACAGTGTGGGCTGCCGGGGATTGAACCCAGGGCAGTCACATGCAAGGACAGTGCCTTAACCCCTCTGTACCATCTCTCCAGTCCATTGATGCGCGTGATATACAGCCCAGCTTACGTTCCTGCTGGGCTGCAGCAGGTGTAGAGGGTTGGAAAATCACTGGCCTTCCCGTCCTGGCTCGCGTTTGATCCCCGATGTCTGGAGCTCAGCCTTCCCCACTACCCATCTCCCTTCTCTGCTTCCCTTCCAGGAGCTGCACCTCTGCGTGTCCCGCAGACATTATGCGCTGGAAGGGGGCTGCCGCCTGCGAGGCCTTTCCCCAGGGAATTACAGTGTCAGGATCCGGGCCACTTCCCTGGCGGGCAACGGCTCCTGGACGGAACCCACTTATTTCTACGTGACCGACTATTGTAAGTCAGCAGCTTGGACCGCTGGGGCTGGGTGTGGGCGTGACGGAGGCGTGGTTTGGGGGTTGGGTGTGGGCGTGGTTTGGGGGTTGGAATAGATTTGGGCGTGGCCTGGCGTGGGTGGGGCCTGAACTTGGCTTGGTGTGGGCGTGGTTTCTAGGGGCGTGGTCTGAGGGTGGGACTGGACTTGGTTTGAATGTGGGCGTGGTTTCTGGGGCGTGGTCTCAGGGTGGGCCTGGACTTGGTTTGAATGTAGGCGTGGTTTCTGGGGGCGTGGTCTGAGGGTGGGGCTGGACTTGGTTTGAGCGTGGGCGTGGTTTCTAGGGGCGTGGTCTGAGGGTGGGCCTGGACTTGGTTTGAATGTGGGCGTGGTTTCCGGGGGCGTGGTCTGAGGGTGGGGCTGGACTTGGTTTGAGCGTGGGCGTGGGTTCTAGGGGCGTGGTCTGAGGGTGGGCCTGGACTTGGTTTGAATGTGGGCGTGGTTTCCGGGGGCGTGGTCTCATGGTGGGTGGGGCCTGACTTGGTGTGGGTGTGGGCATGGCCCTGGTGTGGTGGGGAGGCTGGGGCGATTGCGTGCTCTCTGGAGGGGGTCTCTGCGGTTTGCTGATTCTGGGGTGTATGATGGGGGGAGGTGTCCTTGGGGAGGACAGTGCAGCCCCTCTCTGGAGGGGGGACGTCTCAATTATCAGGCGTCTGTCCTGTGGCTGCCGGTCCCTCCCCATCTCCCACACTTAGCGTATCCGCTTCTCTCCCTTTTGTCCGCATCTTTGTTATTAGATGAACCTCAGGACTCAGCTTTGCCCTCCAGGGTGTGGATAATACCAAATTATACCATACCGTCACCTTAGATTTAATGATAAATTTTTTTTAATTGGGTGGGGCTGGAGCAATAGCACAGCGGCTAGGGCGTTTGCCTTGCACGCAGCCAACCCGGGTTCGATTCCCAGCATCCCATATGGTCCCCTGAGCACCGCCAGGGGTAATTCCTGAGCGCAGAACCAGGAGTAACCCCTGTGCATTGCTGGGTGTGACCCAAAAAGCAAAAAAAAAAAAAATGGGGAGGGGCCCAGAGATAGTACAGTGGGTAGCGCATCTGCCTTGCACGTGGCCTACCCGAGTTGGTCAATGCCCTTGACGAAGTCTTATCGTGGGGACCCTGAAAATGCATGTTGACAAGTGGAACCTTCATCTTCTTATTCCAGTGGATGTCCCGTCCAACATCGCCAAAATCATCATCGGCCCGCTCATCTTTGTCTTTCTCTTCAGTGTTGTGATAGGAAGTATTTATCTCTTCCTGAGGAAGAGGTGAGTGAGGGGGCCAGCGGCCACCAGCTTGGGAGTGGGGGGTGAGAGGGGATGCGGTGGAGTATCTGTAGATATAGAGGAAGTTATATTTTATTTTGTAAATATGTTTCACCGGTCACCAGGAGTGATTGCTGACACAGAGCAGGGGGAGCTCTGCCTCAAACACTATAGTTTAGTCCTATGATTATGATAGATAAGTTGCATAAATTAAAACAGCTTTCAGGGGCTGGAGCGATAGCACAGCGGGTAGGGCGTTTGCCTTGCATGCAGCCAACATGGCCAATACAAGTTCGATTCCCAGCATCCCATATGGTCCCCCGAGCACCGCCAGGAGTGATTCCTGAGTGCAGAGCCAGGAGTGACCCCTGAGCATCGCCGGGTGTGACCCAAAAAGCAAAAAATAAAAGAAAAAATGTCTTACCTGAGGGCTTTCCTGTCCCTGTTCTCAGGCATCCCGATGGCCCGCTGGGGCCACTGTATGCTTCGTCAAACCCTGAGTACCTCAGTGCCAGCGATGGTGAGTACCAGCCCCTTTCACGCGGGCAGAGAGAGGGATTCCTACTGCTCTGTCTTCAGAGGAAAGCTCAGGGCTGAGGTCTCCTGCCCCTGGAGGTTGGGCCTCCTCTAGCTGGAGGCCTCAGGGCTTTCGGGATGTGGATTCTGGGCCCCCCACCCATGTGTTGGGGAGAGTGAAGAAGGTTCCAGAAAACTCACTCGGGGTAGGGGGGCAGGGCCACTTGCATGTGGGAGAACCAGGGTTTGATCTGCGGAAAAACAAGTTCAAAAGGAAAAAGTGGTGTAGACAGGAAGGAGCAGCTTGGGGTGCCCGGGTGGGCTGCGGGGACCACCCTGCGGGCCTGCTGCAGACACGGTGTGCATAAGTGAGGCGTAGTCTTTCCCTGTTCCATGTACGTGCCCGACGAGTGGGAGGTGCCGCGGGAGAAGATCGCCCTGCTGCGCGAGCTGGGCCAGGGCTCCTTCGGCATGGTCTACGAGGGCAACGCCAAGGACATCGTCAAGGGCGAGCCGGAGACCCGCGTGGCTGTGAAGACCGTCAACGAGTCAGCCAGCCTGCGGGAGCGGATCGAGTTTCTCAATGAGGCCTCGGTCATGAAGGGCTTCACCTGCCACCACGTGGTGAGTCAGCAGAGCCCTGGCCAGGCCATTCTCTGCCCGTTATGCCCGCCACGCCCACATAACACCTCATCCCCTCCTGGACATGCCCTTGCACCAACCAGCCACGTCTCTCCTGACCAGGCCCCTGTGCAAAGAGCCACGCCCACCCCGACCACGCCCCCTGCAAAACCTCGCCCACCCCGACCACACCCTATGCGAACCACGCCCGTCCTGGCCACGCCCACTCACAAGCCACGCCTCTGCATCACCGGCCACGCCCACACCACCATCATAGCCCTCCTGGTCACGCCTCTGCACAAATCGGCCACGCCCACAACACTGCCACGCCCCTGGCCACGCCTCCTGCGCATCAAGCCACGCCCACCATGACCACGCCCCCGCAAAACCACGCCCACCCCGACCACACCCTATGCGAGCCACGCCCGTCCTGGCCACGCCCACTCACAAGCCACGCCTCTGCATCACCGGCCACGCCCACACCACCATCATAGCCCTCCTGGTCACGCCTCTGCACAAATCAGCCACGCCCACAACACTGCCACGCCCCGGTCACGCCTCCTGCGCATCAAGCCACGCCCATCCTGACCACGCCCCTTGAATAGGCCACACCCATCCTGGCCGCACCCTATACAAGCCACGCCCGTCCTGGCCATGCCCCTTAAATAAGCCACGCCTATCATGGCCACACCCTATACAAGCCACGCCCGTCCTGGTCACGCCCATTCACAAGCCATGCTCATCCTGGCCACTCCCACTGCGCAACCAATCTCTGCCCTCCTGGCCACGCCTCTGCATCACCAGCCACGCCCACACCATTATCATAGCCCTCCTGGGCAAACCTCTGCACCAATCAGACACGCCCACAGCACTGCCACGCCCCCTGGCCACGCCCCTGCACCAACCAGTCACACCCTGCCTAGCCACACCCCCATGCCATTACAGTCACGCCCCCACCCACTCAGCCCCTGGTTTAACCATACACCCTCCCACACCCCTGACACCCTCCCGCTACTGCCTTACTCCTGTCCTGGCCACGCCCCCACCTGTCCAGCCACACCTCCATGCCCCTGACAGGTCCACACACATCACATCACACCACACCGTGCCAGGCCCGCACACACAGAGCAGGAGGACTTGTCGGTGGGAGTTCTTGGTTCCAGCCCATCCCTCCCTCTGCCAAGCAGAGTGTGGATGTTGGGGGAGGGGGTTGCCCTCTTCCTTCTCCGACCTCATAACCCCACCTAGCCCACTGCACCTGAGAACCAGATTCTTTTTTTTTTTTTTTTTTTTTTTTTTTTTTTGCTTTTTGGGTCCCACCCGGTGATGCTCAGGGGTTACTCCTGGCTCTGCACTCAGGAGTTACTCCTGGCGGTGCTCGGGGGACCATATGGGATGCTGGGAATCGAACCTGGGTCGGCCGCGTGCAAGGCAAACGCCTTACCCGCTGTGCTATCTCTCCAGCCGCCAAGAACCAGATTCTGGTGCTGTTCCAGCACTTTCTGGAATCTTCCCTTGTGCCCACCCTCCTCAGGCCACCCCCCTGGCTTGCCCCCACTTCCCTCCTTGCCCCTGGTGGACCCCTGGAGCACCCGTCTGTCCTTCCCTCCTTGCCCCAGGCCAGGCTTGGGGGAGCATCCACTAAGTGACCCCTCAACTTGTCCCGCGTTGACTCCAGCTGTGGGTCTATACCCAACAATTGAGGGGGTCCTTCACATGGTTCTGGGGAGACCCTGTGGGGGCCACATTGGGAGAGGAGCCGGGGGGAGGGGGGGTGGTCACGGCTCAGGGCTGATTCCTGGCTCTGTGCTGGGGGATGAATCCTGACGGGACTTGGTGGAGGGGACCCTGTGGGGTGCCGGGGTTCGAACCCAGGGTGGCTACTTTAGGAGTGAGTGAGCATGTGTGTGTGTGTGTGTGTGTGTGTGTGTGTGTGTGTGCATGTGTGTGTGACACTCAAAATTGTTCAGGGCTCACTCCTAGCTCTGCACTCAGGGATCCCTCCTGGCGGTGCCCAGCTGCCCAGCGGAGGTGGGTGAATTCCAAATTCTCCCTGCACCCCGCCAGCCAGCACCTCGGGGACCCCGCCACTGGTCAGGGCGAGGGCAGGGAGACCCCCCCTCCGCCTCCAAGCACCCCCATGCTTCACCCACAGGTCCGCCTCCTGGGCGTGGTGTCCAAGGGACAGCCCACTCTGGTGGTCATGGAGCTGATGGCCCACGGGGACCTGAAGAGTTACCTGCGCTCCCTGCGCCCGGACGCTGAGGTGAGCTGCTGCCTCCCGGGCACAGTTCCCGCCCTGTCCCCCCACGGTGCCACGGAACAACCCCCTCAGCCCCCTTACCTTGTCTCCACTGCAGAATAACCCGGGTCGCCCCCCCGCCCACGCTGCAAGAAATGATCCAGATGGCAGCAGAGATCGCGGACGGCATGGCATACCTCAACGCCAAGAAGTTCGTGCACCGCGACCTCGCGGCCCGCAACTGCATGGTCGCCCACGACTTCACGGTCAAGATCGGAGGTGGGCGCGGGCCCCCAGCCCCCGCCCCTGCAGTCTAGACCCACCACTTTGTTGGCTTTGGGTTGGGTGGGTTTTTATTTTTGCGGAGTTTTTTTTTGGGGGGGTCACACCCGGCGATGCACAGGGGTTCCTCCTGGCTCTGCACCCAGGAATGACACCAGGAATGATGCTCGGGGGGACCCTATGGGGATGGGATGCTGGGAATCGAACCCAGGTCTGTTGCATGCAGGGCAAACATTCTACCCACTGTCCTTCACTCCAGGCCTATGTTTGTAGGGTTTTTTTTTGGGGGGGGGGGCACACCCGGTGGTGCTCAGGGCTTATTCCAGGCTCTGCGTTCAGGGATCACTCCTGGCAGGGTTCTGGGGACCCTGTAGGGTGCTGGGGATGGAACCCAGGTTGGTCGCATGCAAGGCAAACATCCTACCCACTGTACTATCTCTATGGCCCCTGGTTTATTTTTAATTTTGATATTTTGGGGGGGGGGGGCAGAGGGGGTTGGGTTTGGTTCACACCTGGCTCTCTGCTCAGGGATCACTCCTGGCAGTGCTCAGGGAACCTCATGGCACGCCAGAGATTGAACTCGTGTCAGCTGTGTGCAAAGCAAGCACCGTCCCTGCTGTCCTCTTGGTCCAGTCCACCCTCCTTCTTACTTGACTCGAACACAAACTTCCTTTTCTTATTTTGCTTTTTGGGTCACACCCGGCATGCACAGGGGTTACTCCTTGGTCATGCACTCAGGAATCACTCCTGGCGGTGCTCGGGGAACCCTATGGGATGCTGGGAATCGAACCCGGGTCGGCCGCGTGCAAGGCAAACGCCCTCCCCGCTGTGCTATTGCTCCAGCCCCAAACTTCCATGGTTTTTCTGGGCCACACCCAGCAGTGCTCAGGGCTTACTTCTGGGGTATCTCCAGACAAGTGCCCAAGATGCCGGGGATTAAACCTGGAGCAGCAGCATGCAAGGCAAAACACCCTCCCTTCTGTACTACCTCGCTCCTATCCCATGTCTTTCTTTCTTTCTTTCTTTTGGGGGGCGGGGTGGGGGGGTTACACCTAGCAGGGGTTACTCCTGGCTCTGCACTCAGGAAATTACTCCTGGCATTGCTCAGGGAACCATATGGAATGCCGGGGATCGAACCCAGGTCAGCTGAATGCAAGGCAAACGCCTTACCCGCTGTACTATTATTCTAGCCCCATGCCTCACATCTTTCTAAGTAAATTTCATTCCATTAAAAGTTATCTTGCTTCACTTGAAAGAAAAAAAAAAAAGACCGAAATATCAGTAGGCCTCACCAGTACCATATGCATATGTCTTTAGAGAAGATGAAAATGCCAAAGTGACGACTGGAACAATAATGCAGTGGGGTGGGCACTTGCCTTGCAACCAGCCGACCCGGGTTCGATCCCCAGCATCCCATAGGGTCCTTGAACTCAATCCAGGAATAACTCCTGAGCACTGGTGTTGCCCCCCCCCCCCCCAAAACAAACAGAAACAAAGTACTTGCCTAGCCAGTCCCAATGCAAACCCCAATATGGCAGAGGGTCCCCTAAGCAGAGTGTCAAGAGTAACCCCCTGGGGCTGGAGTGGTAGCATAGCGGGTAGGGCGTTTGTAGGGCGTTTGCCTTGCACGCGGCCAACCCGGTTTCGATTCCCAGCATCCCATATGGTTCCCTGAGCACCGCCAGGAGTAATTCCTGAGTGCAAATCCAGGAGTAACCCCCATGGATCGCCAGGTGTGACCCAAAAAGAAATTAAAAAAAAAAAAGAATAAGTTCTAGCAGGTATGCCCACCCTCCTCAAATTAAAAAAAAAAGAAAGAAAAAGAAAAAGTCTCCTAAAACTAACAAAATCCACACGCAGTAGTGATTAGTAATGATTAGGGTCTTCAAGAACTATGATGGCAGTGTAGACCCCAGAGGGTGTAGACAGTACTCATCTGTGGCCCACAGAAATGCAAAAGAAGTGCGCAATTGGAGACCCCAGATCTTTGAATCCAGATGGAGCAGGAAGTGACCTCATGGTCCCTTGGGCACCTCTTGGGCCAGTGGGCGGTTGGGGACAGAAGGACTTTAGGGAGTGGGAGGAACAGGAAGTGCTGTAAGATTGAAAAAAATTGCAATGGGCCTGGGTGCCCGGGCCCAGGATCACGGAGAGGAAGAGGTTAGATTGGCAAGGCTGTGTCAGTTTTGGGGGACAAAGTGTACCCTGCCCTGGGTTTCTGTTTGGACCGTGAACTGGTGGGTGAGGAAGATCCTCTTCAAAGAGGGACTGGAGCGATAATACAGTGGGGAGGGCGTTTGCCTTGCACACAGCCAACCTGGGTTCGATCCTCAGTGTTCCATGTGGTTCCCCTGAGCACCACCAGGAGTATTTTCTGAGTGCAGAGCCAGGAATAACCCCTGAGCACCGCCGGATGTGACCCAAAAGCAGAGAGAGAGAGCGAGAGAGAGAGAGAGAGAGAGAGAGAGAGAGAGAGAGAGAGAGAGAGAGAGAGAGGAGAATAGCCGGAGGGAACAGAGCAATAGATTAGGAGGCAGGGCACTGGCCTTGCACGTAGCCGACCTGGGTTCAATCCCCGTAGGGTCCCCTGCGCACTGCTAGGAGCGATCCCTAAAATCCACAGATAGGTTGGCTGCCCTGAGGGGGCAGCTGTGAGCTTGTGGGGTGGGGAGGACTTGGGCGAGACTCTCCAGCTGTGCCCAGCCCTTCCCCAAGGTCACCCCTTGGTTCCCTCCACTCCCGGGTCTGAGGGGTTCCACTGAGCCTTGGGAGGGTGGTGGAGACGGCGGCCGCGGTAAGACCGTGTCACCCTGTGTGTTGCCAGACTTCGGGATGACCAGGGACATCTACGAGACAGATTACTACCGGAAGGGGGGCAAGGGCCTGCTCCCCGTGCGCTGGATGGCGCCCGAGTCTCTCAAGGACGGCGTCTTCACCACGTCTTCAGACATGTGGTGAGTGCCACCCGCCACCCACCTGCTTCCCTGAAGGGCCAAGGAGCCACAGCCTCACCCTGCTTGCCTCGGGCCTGTCCCTGGGAGAAAAGGAAGACAGGGTGGGTGGTTCTGGCGAGTAGCCCATCTTAGGCCATGGACCATATGGGCATTTCTCAATTGTCGGGAGATTTTTTTGTTGGGGGGTTGAGGGGTGGAACATCCACTGGTGCTCACGGGCTTCCTCCAGCCTCTGTGCTCAAGACTGCCCCCTGGCAGTGCTCAAGGGACCATGAGCCATGGCCAGAGATTCAAATTATGGTCGCCATCAGTGAGGCAAAAGCCTTACCCTTGTCCCATGGTCCCACAGTGCTTCCCTCCATCTCTCTTGCCCTCCCTTGCTTAAGGAGCCAGTTGGGCTGGTAGACCAGATGTCCCCTTTTCAAAAGGGGAAATAAATCATTCAGCAGTTTTTCCCTGCCCCCAAAATCTGCCTCCTTTAAGCAAACAAATAGGAAGTACCACCTATCAATCCCACATTGCATCTGAGACTACCATGACCCCCAGGAACCCCGGGGGTGGGGGGTGATATTGGCCATGTTGGGGAGCACTGGGGTAGAGCAAGAAAGTCAGAAGGGGTGTGTGTGTGTGTGTGTGTGTGTGCAAGTGTGTATGTGAATATATGTATGTGCATGTGTGTGTGTTTATGTGTGTACTCTGTTCGTGTATGTGTGTGTTGTGTGTATGGTACATAAGTTATGTGTGCATTGTGTGTGGTACGTATGTGATGTGTGTATATGTGTCAGTATGAATGTACATGTATATGTACATGTATGTGCATGTGTGTACATGTGTATTTTTGTATGTGTGTTATTTGTGTGTATGTATATCTGTATGTGTGTATGTGTATGTTTATGTATGTGTGAATATGTGTGTATGTGTACATATCTATGTGATTATTAGTCACGGTCACGGTCCTCCCGTTGTTCATCGATTTGCTCGAGTGAGCCCAGTAACGTCTCCATTGGAGACTTTGTTGTTACTGTGTTTGGCATATCGAATACGTCACGGGGAGCTTGCCAGGCTCTGCCGTGCGGGCGAGATACTCTCGGTAGCTTGCCGGGCTCTCCGAGAGGGGCAGAGGAATCAAACTCGGGTCGGCCATGTTGGCTGCGTGCAGGGCAAACATCCTACCCGCTGTGCTATTGCTGTATGTGTATATATATATGTATATATATATGTATGTGTTTATTATAATGTATATATGTGTGTAAGGTGTGTATATATGTGTATGTTTATTGTGTATGTGTGTATATATGTATGTGTTTATTGTATATGTATATATGTGTGTAAGTGCATATATATGTGTTTATTCTGTAGGTGTGTATATGTATCTGTTTATTGTATATGTATGTGTGTTGTGTGTATGTTGTGTTGTTTGTGTACATGTGTGTACGTGTGTTGTATGTGCTATGTGTTGTGTGTATCCTGTGTATGTGTGTTGTTTGTGTACATGTGTGTACATGTGTTGTGTGCCATGTATTGTGTTGTGTGTACATGTGTGTACGCATGTTCTGTTGTGTGTGTGTTGGGTGTGTGTGCTTGCAGCTGGCCCCTTTAGCAGGCTCTCCGTCCCCATCTCCGGCAGGTCCTTCGGCGTGGTCCTCTGGGAAATCACCAGCCTGGCTGAGCAGCCGTACCAGGGCCTCTCCAACGAGCAGGTCCTCAAGTTCGTCATGGACGGAGGGTTTCTGGAGCACCCGGAGAATTGTCCAGAGAGAGTGTAAGTGCAGGAACTGGGTGCAGAGTGGCCTGGGGTCCACGGGAAAAGTGGTTCGACGTTTCCTGCTGCTGTGTCTGTAAATGGAGGCGCAAGAGGGCTTGTTTCTATGCCTTGTTTTTGTTTTTTTTTTGAGGGGAGAGGGTGAGGGGGTAACACCCAGCTGTGCTCAGAGCTGACTCCTGGCTCTGCACTCAGGAATCCCTCCCGGCAGGGATTGGGGACACTGTGGAGTGCCGGGGATTGAATCCGGGTCAGCTACGTGCCGGGCGGGCGCCCTCCCCGCTGTGCTATGGGCTCAGGCCCTGCCTCAGCCCACCTAAGCCCACTCCGGACCCCACGCTGGTGAGCGTGTCACAGGCCGGTACCCATGCTTGTGATTGCGTAGCCCATTTGTGTTTCACACAGAAGCTTGTGCGAGACCTGTCTTACATGCCGGGGCTTGGGTTGGCCTCTCCTGAGTCCAGGCACCCTTGTCTGTGTTTGGACACACACGTGTGTTTCCGTGTCAGTTTGCATTTGTATCCCAGGAATGCGCCCACGTCCCACCGGAACCCGTGACTTGACACGTAAGCTTGGGCGGCAACACGCAGTGGAGAGGGCGCTGGTCCTGCCCGCGGCTGACCAGGGTCCCACCATCCCCAGCACCCCATAGGATCCCCTGAGTGCCTCCAGGGATGATCCCTGACCACAGCGCCAAGAGAAACCCTGGATACTGCCTTGTGTGGGCCAAAAACAAAGCAAAAACTCCAGAAGCTTCTTGGTGGTCACATAGAGGCCACTTCCCACGCATGCCTGTTTTAACATATATGCTCCTTTTGCAGGGCCTGTCTGTGCACGTATGCGTGATTGCTTGTTATTATCTTTGTTTTGTTGTTTTGGGCCATGCCCGGCAATCCATACATGCAACTTCATATTTTTTTTATTTTTTGGGTCACACCCAGTGATGCTCAGGGGTTACTCCTGGCTCAGCACTGAGGAATTACTCCTGGCGGTGCTTGGGGGACCATATGGGATGCCTGGGATCGAACCCGGGTCAGCCGCGTGCAAAGCAAATGCCCTACCCGCTGTGCTATCACTCCGGCCCCCCAACATGTAACATTTTTTGCTGGGAAACAAATATGGCATAGAATGTCAATGATAGTAATAGTTTAGTTTTTGGGCCCTACCCGGCAGTGCTCAGGGCTGATTCCTGGCTCTGTGCTCAGGTGGGGCTTGAGGGACCCTATGGGGTACTAGGGATCAAGTTCTGGTTGGCTGCATGCAAGGCAAGTGGCTTCCCTCTGTACTATCTCTACAGCCCCTTAAAAATATTTGATAATTTGGTGAATAAACTTTGGTTAAAACATTGACTGAGGGCTGGAGAGATAGCACAGCAGGTAGGGCGTTTGCCTTGCACGTGGCCGACCCAGGTTCAATTCCCAGCATCCCATATGGTCCCCTGAGCACCGCCAGGAGTGATTCCTGAGTGCAGAGCCAGGAGTAACCCCTGTGCATCGCCAGCTGTGACCCAAAAAGCAAAAAAAAAAAAGTGAGTGAATGTTTTACCTATTACTCTGGCCCCTGCTGTGAGCACTTTAGAGACTCACTGCCCAGGTCTTTCCTAGCCAGGCCAGTCAATGGCTCGCTTGACTTCTAAGAAATAAAATTGGCTTCAGAGTAGAAGTGGAAGCCCTACCAACTTTCTAGAAAGTACCAGCTTGGGGGCTGGAGCAATAGCACAGCAGCCTTGAGCACGGCTGACCCGGGTTCGATTCCCAGCATCCCATATGGTCCCCTGAGCACCGCCAGGAGTAATTCCTGAGTGCAGAGCCAGGTGTAACCCCTGAGCATCGCCGGGTGTGACCCAAAAAGAAAAAAATAAAAAGAAAGCACCAGCTTGTTGATAATATTAGCCTCATGGGCCGTGTCTTTAAAGCCCATCCTCTCTGTCATGGAGTTCAAAGGCAGCTGCAGACAATGCCTAAATGAGTGGGTATCAATAAAGCTTTATTAACAAAATCCTACTCAGGGGCCGGATTTGGTCTAGGCACCCACATTTTCCAATCACCGCCACTCTGGAAGTCAGAGTGTGGGCGAAAAAAAAGAGAGAAGTAAAGTGAAAACACCAAACCCAGCCCAAACTCTGCCCCCCTCCCCGCACCCACACACACAGAGGTTCTAAACCAGGTGCCATGTAGCTCAAAGGCAGCTGCAGAGAGTGCCTATAATCACAGGTGTCAATAAAGCTTTATTAACAAAAACACAACTGGGGGGCCGGAGCAATAGCACAGCGGGTGGGGAGTTTGCCTTGCACGCGACCGACCTGGGTTCAATCCCCGGCATCCCATATGGTCCCCCAAGCACCGCCAGGAGTAATTCCTGAGTACAGAGCCAGGAATAATCCCTGAGCATCGCTGGGTGTGACCCAAAAAGCAAAAATTTTAAAAAAAATTAAAAACATGAAAAAAGAAAACACAATCGGATGAGCCAAGTCAAAAACTAGTTCGCAGGAAGCAGTGAGGCGAGGGCTGGGAACTGGCCCCCAAGTTCAGCCTGGCTGGCTGGACTTGTGGGGGAAGGACCAGGCAGAATCCTGGACCTCACTTAGTGCCTCTCCCTCTGTCCCTCAGCTCCGAGCTGATGCAGCTTTGCTGGCAGTTCAATCCCAAGATGCGGCCCACATTCCTGGAGATCGTGGACCTCCTCAAGGATGACCTGCACCCCAGCTTCCCCGAGGTGTCCTTCTTCCACAGCGAGGAGAACAAGATACCCGAGAGCGAGGAGTTGGAGCTGGAGCTGGAGGACATGGAGAGTGTCCCCCTGGACCGCGCCCTCCACCCGGCCCGGGATGAGGAAAGCATCCCTTACACCCACATGAATGGGGGCAAGAAAAACGGACGGATTCTGACTCTCACTCGGTCCAACCCGTCCTAACAGTGCCTGCTGGGGGGCGGGGAGTCCTCCCTGGGACTCCCCACCCCCCCTACAATCCCCGTCCTCCCCATCACCTCCCTCTTGCAAACTCAGGATTCTCTCCCGACTGCTATTAGGATCTCCCAGAGCTCAGAGACCGTCAAACCACACACCGCCGCCCTCCGCCTTCCCGACGGCCCCCTCTCTGGGGTTGGATTTCCCCCCCCTCACGACGTGACACATCAGAACATTGAACCATGAAGCATCCTTCTTTTGGGGGGCAAGGGGCCATCCACGGCGGCCGACCAGGATGTGACTTTTGTTGTTGTTGTTTTTCCTTCCAGTCGCTGGAAAGAAGGCACCTGTTTTTGGTTGTGTGTGTGTGTGTGTGTGTGTGTGTGTGAGTGTGTGTGTGTGTGTGTGTGTTTTAAAATTTTTTTAAATGGGTTTTACTTGGGAGGGGGAGGGTGGGCTTGGGTGGGGAGTGCTGGGATCCAAGTGTGGCTACCCCAGCAAGTGTGTTTGCGGATTTGAGATGTGCAGGAAGGGAAAGGGAGGGAGGGAAAACCAAATCCAAACCCACAGATCCACCCGGTTCCGGTTGGAGTTCCAGGTTTGGGTTGTAGGAAGGACTTTGATTTTTCTGGGGCTTTTTCAGTTTGTTTGTTTTGTTTTTGTTGTTGGTGGTTTTTTGTTTGTATCTTTTCCGGTTTCTTCACCAAATCAGTTCCTCAAATTGACCAATAGCCACTGTTTTCCTATTTTTGATAAGGATTTGCTCTTCTAAGTGTACTGTGTGTGTGTGTGTGTGTGTGTGTGTGTGAGTGCGCGCATGGGCAGGGGTATTACCCAGCATTCATGCGACGTGGACAACTTGGGGTTCTTTGGGGAAGCTTCCTCTCTCCTCGAGGGGGCTCCACACCCCACACCCGACTCTCTATTCTGCTTTTTTTTCTTCAACGAGGAAGAGGAAACTGCATCCTCGCCGGATGATGAGCCCTGTGTTCCCCTCCCACAACGCCCCCAACCTCAAGTGCTTTCTGCCCCTCCCCTCCCTTGGGTGACACAAGTTTTCGGGGAGCTGTGGGGTTCAGCGCGTGGAAGGAGCGTGGACCTTTTCAAGCCCAATCAAAGCTCGGACATCCACGGGGAAGGAAGTGACGCAGAAGCACAGAGACAAAGAGACCGTTTCATTGCTTTTTGCTTTCTGGGTTTTTGTTGTTGTTGGGTGTTTTATTTTATTTTATTCTTCTTCTTTTATTTTTTTTTTGAGAATTATATTTGTATCCTATTTAATTTTTTTTTTTTTTTGCAAATCTCCAGCATCAACCCCGTAAGTTATTGACCATTTCTTTGCGGGGTGTTGCGGGGTGTTGCGGGGTGAGGTGGGCGCTTGGGGGGTGCGGAGGCATCGAAGGACGTTGTATAAGAGGCCCCAGGGACCTCTCTCGGTTTGGGGTGACCGCACCCGGGTTTCTGGGGGGAATGCCACATTAGCTGCTAAAGCTCTTGGAGGTTATGAGAGCGACGGAAGGGTCCGAGCCCCAGCCTGCTGGGGGAAGCGGGCCTCGAAGGGCGCCCAGCCAGGGGGCGACGGGTCTCCGGGTTCCCTATACACCACCTCCCCCCTCAACCGGGGCATGCCCAGGGCACGTGATTGCCCACGCGCTGCCCAGCGGCTCCCCTCCAGGAGGGCATGGGCAGATACTAAGCAATATAGGGCAGCGTGGTGCTCTGGGTGTCAGGGGCTCCCCACCCCCCCACATCTGCCACCTATGGCCCCCCCTGACCCCCCATGGCTCCAGGTCGGGCCAAGTGGGGTGAGGGACCCCAACGCTCTTGGCGACCCCACTCCTCCCAAGAGAAGGCCAGGCCTGAACGAGGAAAAACTTCTAAAGGACCTTCATGCTCAGGAGAACTTTCCGGAAAAGGATTGTGAATCCACAGATCTATATATATATATTTTTTTCTTTTGTTTGATTGTTTTTGTTTTCCTCTTTGTGGGGGAGTGAGGGTGAGGGGTGGAGGTTCCCCCAATCTGCTCAAAATAAACAACAGTGACTTTGTGACTTGGCTGCATCCCGATCATGCTGGTCCACAAGCATCCCTGGGTTCTGAGCTCAAACGGCACTTTTTTTAGGTTCTGCCCATCCCTCCCCGCCTCAATTTTTTTTTTCTGGACTGTTTCCTTCTGTGAGTTCGTGGGGTCAGAGAGCGAGACAGAGGATGGGGTGAAAGGCTTTGGTCTTGCCCTCAGCCTCTCCTGGCTCGATCCCCGGCACCACATTAATGGCCTATTAAGCATTGCAGGGAGCGGGGAGCAGGGGGGAAATCGCCCCAGTATTTTGGGGTGGACCCCCAAGCTTCCCCCCCACCCGCCTTCCCAAAAAAAAAAAAAGACTTGTGGGCTTCAGAACATGAGAGCGATGCAGTGGTGATCTCTGAGTTTCTCTAGAAGTTTCCCAGAGAGAAGCGGATCCCAGAGGCTGCGGTGACAGCACAGCGGAGAGGGTATTTGTCCTGTCCACCCTGGCTCGGTTCACTCCCCGGCATCCCAGAGGGTCCCCTGAGCACCGCCAGGGGTCACTCCTGAGTGTAGCAGAGCCAGGAGTCAGCCCTGAGCATCACCGCGTATGACCCAAAAAAGTCAAAAAAAAAAAAAAGAAGACAAAGGGGTAGTGGATTCCAATGCTGGCGGCCCAATAACTCCACAAGCCTGTCACCTGTCCGCTCACCCTGCTGCCGTATCGGTGCTTTCTTGGGACCCCAGAAGCCAGAGCACAGAAATCCTTTTCACACTCTTCTTTTGTACCTAGGAAAAGTGGGTTTGTACCTGCCATCCATGAAGAAGACAAACACCACTGCAGGTCGCGTTCTCTGCAGTTTCGATTAGTAGCACCGACCCTTGTGGCAATTTTCATTTTTTTTCTTTTCCTAATTCTGGAAGATTTTCTTATAGTAGGGAAGGGAGGGGTGGATTTTATTTATTTTAATATATAAGAATCACTGTAAAAAAATCACTTTCGTAAAAAAAAAAAACAAAAAAAAATGCAATCCCACCCCCCCTCCCAAAATGAAGCACATGTAAATTTTTATCAAAGAAAATAAACAAGTGAATGTGGGGGTCGTGATTTTTCCTCCCCGCTGAGCCGCCAGACTACCTCAATGCATGGTCGCTAGGATGTAGTCGATGGGATACGGATTGGGAAGGAAGGAACTGAGAAGGAGAATGTGGGCAGGCTCCTGAGAATCATCTTGGAATTTCCTCATTTTTTTTTTATCTTTTTTTTGAATTCCATCTTGGGTTTTGGTCCTCTGAAGCCAGGTTCCTCAGAGCCTGCCTCCCCGAGAGCGGTACCGTATTTCACCACGTAATCACCGCAGATTTCAGTATCCAATTTGTTGGGCTTTGCAAAAGAAAACAAATAAAGTGGGGATTTTGCAGCCATCGTGAGGTGCTTTGGTAAAAGGTTAGAGACAACTGAGAAAATTAAATAAGTAAAGGGCCGGAGGCATAGTACCCCGGGTAAGGCGTTTGCCTTCAAGTGGCCCACCAGGGTCCTTCTATCTCTGGCACCTCATAGGGTCCCCCGGAGCACCACCAGAAGTGAGCCCTAAGCAGAGCCAGGAGTGGGTCCTGAACACTGTCAGATGTAGCTCAGAAGCAAATAAGAAAATTTTAAAAGGGTGAGACTCTGCGTGAGACACAGTGATGATCGTGTAGTGAAATACCGTAGGACAGTAGCACCCACTTCCCCAGAGGGACCCTCCTCCCCACCACACACACACACACAGATACACCCCGAGTGCCTTAGACCCTTCTGGGGCACATTCTCCGTGCAGGCTGAGATGCCTTTGAGGGGGCCCTGGCCCAACCCGCGCTCACAGCTCACACCAACACGCCCCATGGCCATGTCTGCTTCTCAGAGCAAATTTCAGGGAAAGCTGAGATGTCCCGGTAAAATCTACCGCTGTGTTGTACAACCAGGGTTCGAGTCCCAGGACCCTATAGGGTTCCCTGAGCCCGACCTGGAGTGATCTTTGAGCGCCAGGAGTCAGCCCTGAGCACTGCCAAGTGTGCCCCACCCTCTCCAAAAAAAAAAAAAAAGAAATTGAGCAAAAACTTATAAACATGATGCCAAGACCCTCTGATCGCATGTGGACGGTAGTGGCTGAGTAAGGCCAGCTCTTGCCTTCCTTTTTTTTTTTTTTTTTTTTGCTTTTGCTTTTTGGGTCACACCCTGGGGATGCTCAAGGGTTTTTCCCCTGGCTCTGCACTCAGGGATCACTCCTGGCGGTACTTGGGGACCCTATGGATGCTGGGGATCCAACCCGGGTCCGCCATGCGCAAAGCAAACACCCTCCCCACTGTACTATTGCTCCGACCCCTCTTGGAGAGGCGAGATTCCCCCAGATCGATCCCCCCCCACCCCAGTGGTTCATCCTGGCTGTCTTAATGGGGTGCTGTGATTTCCCTCAGCTGTCACAGAAGCCAAGCCTGGCCTGTCCACTGGCTGTCCTGATGTCCCACGTACCCACAAAGCCAGCTTTGGTGGCTGATGCCTTATTTTCTTTTCTTTTCCGTATTTCTGGTATTTTTTTTTCTCAAACCGTCTCACTGTCTAGAAGACCCGAGAGATTGTACAGCGGGAGGGAACTCGCCTTACACATGGCTGATGAGGGTTTGACCCCCTGAGCACTGCTGGGAGTGATTCCTGAGCACAGAGCCTTGAGCACCACCAGGTGTGGCTCAAACAAAGCCACGTTTTTTTTAAAAGAAAGAAATTTTACTGTAAGGAGATGAATCCGTTCCTGGGTATGGTGAGTCCCACCCGCCAAGTCAGGGTGTGTACGTGGGAGGTGGGGGGGGGGGGCTGGCATTTCCCTGGCCCAGGTCGATGTTTCACAGGTATCTGAGATGTCTTGGAGGACTGTATTATATCCCAGGAGCGGGACCTGACAGTTTCAGCTTCTAGAAAAGTTCTCTGGGTCAGTGTCAAGTACCACCAAGATTCTGTAGGCATTGGTACTAGGTGCAAGCCACCCAGTACCTCTCTTTTCACGAAATGTGCTTGCTTACTGGGTCAGAACTATTTCCTCTGGGCTCTGGCCCATTGGAGCAAGGATGACTCATGTTCCCCAGGTGATGAGGGGGATTGGTCTTGCCTTCCTCCCCATATCCACCCTGTCTTCTGCTTTCCAGGGTGAAAGTTTGGGGTTCAGTGACTTTTGAAGGCATCGCGATGCCCCCCCCCCAACCCCGGCCTCTCCAAAGAGGTTGCAGGGTTCATGGGGAAGAGAGGGAGAAGGCTGATTTTTTTTCTCTCTCTCTCTAGATGGTGCATCTTGAAAGATGTGCCCTTTTTCTGGAACAAACCTTCCAGAATGTTCTTCTGAATACGGACTAGCACCCAAGATGCGGTTGGGGGCTGGGAATGGACGTTTGTTGGTGGAGACACAGGAGAAAGGGGGGTAAACTTTCAGCACCGAATAGAAATGCTTTCATGGGGGAGGGGCAGGAGAAACGGGGTGTCACAGCCCAAGGATGTTTTAAGGTGGCTACAAAATTCTCAGGCCAGTCAAAGTTTGGAAGCTAAATCTGGGTAAAGGCCCTCGGGGATTCTTGTTTAAAACCGGTTCTTACACGTGGGACTCTTGGTCCCCCTTGAGAGGAAAGGGAGGCGCCCCCCAAAGCGAGTGTGCTGGCGTGCACCCATTGAATGGTGATCTTGTCTGGGGGGGGGGGTTGCCTGGAGGCTGCGTGATCAGCAGATCACTCCCTTCTGCCCTTGACAGTCACGCAGAATCCACTACGGGACGTCGACGCCCTTCGTGGGTGCAGTTATGCCGAGGATGACGTTTAACTGTTTTCCTCTAGGAGCTGTGCTGTGTCGGAAAGAATATGCCTTTCTCTCTTGGGCTTTCTTTTTTTTTTTTTTTTTTTTTTTTTGTGGACTATTGAAATCACTCTGCATGTAAACTAGGGGATAATGACCCGTTTATATTAAAATTCTGAACAAACTCTCTGAGAATACTCTTCGTTTTGTGTGTGTGTGTGTGTGTGTGTGTGTGTGTGTGTGTGTGTGTATGCGCATGCCTGCAGTGGGTGATGGGGATTACCACGGGAGTGGGTGGGTGGGAAGGTGCTAAGGAGTTCCCTTTCTGGGGGCTGGAGCAATAGCACAGTGGGTAGGACGTTTGCCTGCACACGGCCGACCTGGTTTGATTCCCAGCATCCCATATGGTCCCCCGAACGCCACCAGGAGTAATTCCTGAGTGCAGAGCCAGGAGTAACCCCTGTGCATCGCCGGGTGTGACCCAAAAAGCAAAAACAAAAAGAAAAGAGCTCCCTTTCTGAAAATTGTGGCCAACTCTTTAATTTTTCTAAGAACTGATTTTTATTTTGATCTGTTAAAAAAATATTGAGAGGTAGGGGGCTGGAGAGATAGCACAGCGGGCAGGGCATTTGCCTTGCACGCAGCCGACCCGGGTTCGATTCCCAGCATCACATACGGTCCCCTGAGCACCGCCAGAAGTAATTCCTGAGTTCAGAGCCAGGAGGAACACCTGAGCATTGCCGGGTGTGACCCCCCCCAAAAATATTGAGAGGTAGGGGGCTGGAGAGATAGCACAGCGGGCAGGGCATTTGCCTTGCACGTAGCCAACCCGGGTTCGATTCCCAGCATCCCATAGGGTCCCCTGAGCACCGCCAGGAGTAGCTCCTGAGTGCAGAGCCAGGAGTAACCCCTGTGCATCGCCGGGTGTGACCCAAAAAGCAAAAAATATATATATATTGGGAAGTACACCTGGACAGATAGTAAACGTTCTTGCCTTGCAAGTGGCCAACCCGGGTTCAAACTCCAGCACCCCGCAGGCCTCTCTCCACCCAAAAGCCCTGCCAGGAGTGACCCCTGAACACAGCCAGGGGTATCCTGAAACAAGCAAACTTTTATTATTTTTTTCTTTTATGCGCTTGGGTCCCACCCAGCTGTGTTTAGCGAATGGCGCTGCCGGCTGTCCGATCTCTCCTGTCATTCCATTCTAATTATAGTAAATCTTGCCAGGTGTGCCCCCCCCCCAAACAAAGCAAAATGAAAAAATCATGCAGAGGGGATGGAGTGGGCCCCCCACTGCCTCAGTCCCACTCCGGAGCCCTATCCCTGCCTCTGATCCCCCCTGAATCACCCGGCCAGATGAGGAGGTGTGGACTGGGTCGGGTGGAGTGGGGGCTCGGGGGGTGACCCAGACCCCAGTGGTGCTGCCTTCATTCTCGAGGGATCCGTGTGCCAAGAGGAGGCCGCCTCTAGTGAATTCGACTCGCTTACACCCGCCGAGGGTGGAGGGGATGAGAGAGTCCAGCATCTTCCGGCCCTGCCCGCGCCCTACTGAGCCTTGGGTCAGAGAATAAACCGGTCAACTGTGTCCGGGTGTCTGTGCTGCCTGGGGCCCGCCCCACTCACTCTCTGCGTGTAGAGACACCCAGTGGGCAGTGCTTCAGAGCCAGCTGCCCGAGAGCGAACAGCGTGACACAGGAGAGGCTTGCCTTCCCGCAGTACAACGTGTCCAACCAACTCAGTTCTAAAGGTCTCCAGACCCCACGTCCACATATCACAGCACCCCGCATTGCTGAGGGTGCCATCTTCCGTCCTGAGTTTTGAGGTTCCTACACACATGAGAATTCCCATGCCTTCTGTTCTCCGTGGAGGAGGGTGGCAGAGGCCAGATTCAATTTCGGCATCTCTAGATGTCTAGGGTGAAGGTAACAGTTATGAGAGGAACTGGGGGTCGGTTAAGAAGAATTTTAATTAACACACAAGTAATGAGCCCAGGACCAAGCAACCTCCTTCTGTGGAAATTCTAAATAAACTTCTGCTGAGGATTTTTTTTTCTTTGCTTTTTTGGGTCACACCCAGCAATGCTCAGGGGTTACTCCAGGCTCTGTGCTCAGGAATGACTCCTGGCGGTGCTCAGGGGACCCTATGGGATGCTGGGAATCGAACCCGGATTGGCTGCGTGCAAGGCAAACGCCCTACCCTCTGTGCTATTGCACCAGCCGTTTCAGAATGAAGAGAACAAAAAATAAAAGGAAAATAACCCTTCCTTGCTCTTTCCAGACCCGGC